AAGACTATCTTTTGTCCAGGGGACAATTGAATGGATAGCCAAATGAGTTCGTGATGTGGAGAAAATAACTCATCAATTACCATGGCTGGGAGTGTAGATCTGATCCATACCGCCACTCCGCCACCGCGTGCTGTTCGATCCAGCCGGAAGGTGGTGTAGCCAGGGAATGTGGAGTCGGATGGTGGAACGGTTTCAGAGGAAAACTTTGTTTCCGTCACTACTGCTATGTCGGGATTATGCTGGTGCAGTGTGTGCTGGAACTCAGCTAGCTTGTTTCCTAAGCTAAATGCATTGGTGCAAAGGAGTCTGAGTGAACATTTTAAAATGGTATTGTGATGAATGACAGAACTAGGCATGGGTGTAAAAATGAAAGGTAAATGTGTATCAAAGCGGTAAGTTTCTGAAGTGACTTACTGCAGGACTTGTTGGCCACTCTCAGGAGATTTTCGTTTCCGTTTTTTCCGTTGCTTGGATCCAGTGGTGGTGGCACTCTGGTCCCGATCAGGTGTGACGCTATGGCGTGAACGCTTGGATCGGTTGACTTCCCACCCGCCAGAATCAGGATCATCGTCGCTATGGCCTCCCAGCTGTGGGCCTAGGGCTGTACATGCATCGCTGTCTGCCTTCTTGGCCTCCCTGTCGGAGTCGCAGGGCAAGTTAGACAGCTGCTGGTTCTCTGGCTTGGATAAGCTTTCGTTGTCGACCAATGATTCAGTATCAGCAGAAAGAGGCAACTCTTCAGACTCAGAGGAGCTGGAGTCGCTCTTGTCAGCTGCTGGAAGATCAGCCTGCTTAGACTTGGATGTTGGGCATTGTGATTGGGCTTTACTTTGCTGCTCTGTCTGGGGTGGGTTTGCGACCACATCAGACAGGAGTCGACGTGTGCGTTCAGTGTCTGTACATGTAGGTGACGTTGAATGCTGTGACTGCTGTGTACTACCGGTACTGGCAGTGGTACTGCGGGCCTCAGGGCAGTCCTTGGCAAGGTGCTCTGGCTTGCTGCAAATCCGACACGTGGGCTTTTGGCCACTATAATGTACGCGGAAAGTGCCTTTCCCGTCTCTGGATTTCACGTACGAAGGTACGGCTTTATTCGACCCCAGTACAAAGGTTGCAAAACGGACTCCGGTTGCAATAACAACGTTGTCCCGTACCTTAAGTTTACCGTGGCGGATGGCGCCCTGCACGGTACCGTATGGAGCAAGTGCGGCTGTAATGGCGCCATCCGACACCCACACAGGAACATCGTGAATGTGCAACTGAACATGAGTGTTTTCTGTCAAGGATTTTGGAAGGATATGTTGTCCATTGATATGGAAGCCATTCTTCACGACTAACTGGGCAAGCTGGATATCTGTGAACGTTAATCTGCATTGGCCTACCGAACTGACCTGGATAGATAGGATGAGCTCAGCTCCTATTCCGTGTTGCTCGAGGCAGCTCACGTACTCGGCGAGTTTCAAATCCTTTGGAGCTGGAAATAGCACAGTTCGGGCCATCAGGTCCCTGGCGCTTACTTTCCGCCATGGGTCGACTTCAGCTGGTTCCCGAGATGTATCAGTGGTCTCCATGATCCCGGAACGGGCATATGTGGGGCTAAAACGCCCAACCACGAGATTTTTTCAGAGCTAAAAAAAGCTTTACCACACGTCACTGAGACAAAAAAAAAAAAAAGTTGGTGCCAGCCACTCTCATCCTGATCTACATAGATATCTGCAGACACTTTGCAACACAAAGTCCAACACACGCATACACACACACACACACACGCACACACACACACACGCACACACACATACAAGCACACACTCACGCACACACTCACGCACACACACACACACACACCTCAGACCTGCCCATCCTGGAAGCGATGATAGCGAACAGCTATGTTACATAGCAACTTGTGCTGGGATTACACCATTCAACAGCTTGCAAGGCTGATGAATTGACCACCACTAATTTTAGCCTGGTCTACACCACACGGCTGGTTGAAGCAGCTTTTTCTGGCCATTGAATCTCTATTTTTCATTTTTTACACACATACACACACCACATACTCCGGCATACACTGGCTTGGTAACCACCCAGGAGAATGAAAGAAGAGCTAGGAGAATGAGAAAGAGAAGAAAGACGTGTGTGACCATAATCGTCGGGAATTGAACCTGCAACCTCTCGATTGGAAATCGACTGCACATACCACTGCACCATATGGGACACACACTGTACTGAATTGTACTTGTTGCTCACTGCCAAAACTGGTCACGTGAGTCCCCCCGGGAGAGGGGAGAGAGACTCAAAAGGAATCTTAGAAAGATGACTCAATTGGTTATTGAACCGCCCAATGGCCGACACCCCCTGAAATCCCCAAAACTCTGGGTGGACTTGAAAATGATTCCACTTATGGGCTCACCACACCTCACAAAGTGGGTGAGGACAAGGTGCAGAAAAAGGATTGACGGCATCAGGTATCCGTCCCGGGATCCAACTGCAGTTACCCCTGCCCCCAGTGAAGGTAATATTTGCTACGAGTGTGAGTGGCTAAATCAGAGTGGATCTGATAAAAGCTTCACTAGCACCATTGATTACACAAGAGTTAATCCAGCCAGAAGCAGTCCATGGTTAACAGGTATGTATACTTCAAATAGAAAGTATATGAACCCTGGAACCAACAAAGGTGGCAGGTACAACATTACACCTTCAAGCAGCCGAGCCTGTTGGCAACAGACCCAACACAATCAGGCATAAGTGTACCTACCAGCCGAACTAGCTGGGACACACACACACACACACACACACACACACACACACACACACACACACACAAACTTCTGCTCTCTTGCTAAATTCACTCTCTCGTATCAAAACCACAACTCAAAATCGTCGCCGAAACGGCAGACTGAAACTGAAAGAAGCTTAGTAACTGAAATCATATTTGGTTCGGCCGTCCGATAACCAAACCGAGACGCACCATATAGAGAAAGAGAGGTGTACTATATTTGTGTTGAAAAATCAGATTATGTGACTGGGAGTGTATGGCAATTGCCTACAGCATTTGTCTATGGGATTGGGCTGCACCGCAGGATGCTTTCTTTCACGTACCACCTGCCATCTGGCTTGTTTGTTGAAATGTTAAATGGGAGAAATTTTTCTCTGAGGATGCTCTCCTGGGTGATATTTCGGATACAATCTCTTTGCATGTCATAGCCAAAGACTGTTGGTGTGCTGCGGGTTGGACGTTAATAATAATTATTGGACAAAATGTTACCTCATACCCAAAAGTATTTTTGTCATATCTGTGTTCACTGAGGCGGAAATCGAGGATCCATTATCATGCACTCAAAGATAAAGACCAGAGCAGCTCCAACAAAAAGCGGACGATGACACATCAGCACTCAGAAAATGCAACATTGTAGTCTACTACATGTACTTTTGTAGATCTATGGCTATCAGATGGGTACCTAGGCAACCACCCGCCCGCGCTCTGAACTAAGTAAAGAATACTTTTTTCCCCATTTCTAGACTAAAAATTTGTTGGGAAATGCGAAAGGCACGCAAGACAAGCCGGCCGCGCGCGGATGCATTGTTTTTTAAAAGTTTTGTTCACATCGCATACCTGTCTGTTAGACATACAGGAGGATTTCTAGCACCATGGCTCGGCCTAAGCGCTGGAACAGTACCACGGAGATCAGTGTCGCGTTTACTCCTCCTTCCATGGTTATTAGGCACGCAACTACTGTCCGTGTTGGTGTCCATAGATCTACGTCACCGACTCAGTCTCCGCCGAATCAGTACTGACTGTGAACAGCACCGGGGCTGCTAGACTTGTTTCACGCCAAGCGGAACCTAAGTCCTTTAAAAAATAATTGTCACTACCTGGTCACCTGGTACATTGTAACTGCACTTCAGGGAAGGACTGAAAAGACCAAGAAAGAGTTCGAACGTCGCTCAGCCCTTGGCAGAATTTCTTCCCTTTGACTTTGTTATTTCCTGGCAATGGTCTCCCAACCGTCGTACTGTACCGTCTCTGTACCGTCTCCAACTTCTGCCCATGGGCCATGGCGTCCTTCCCTCAGCTCGTCAGCTGACAACAGTCACTGTCACCACAGTGAAACTGTCGTGAGAACGTGCTCGCCGTAGAACATCATCGGGTAGAAGAGGTTGGTGATGTCCTGACGTGGCCATGGGACTGACGTAAGGACGCCATAGGCAGAAGTTTGAGAAATGAAGAGAAGAATATAACAGAATGGAAAGAAGACAAACATAACAGGGGGAACGATAACAAGAACCAACGCTAAAGGTAAAAAACAACCCAAAAGGATCAAGAGGATTTACGCAGGACTGACATCCAAAAACGAGCAAGGAATACACAACTGATAGTGCTACTATCCCTTCGTCATGGGGGTTGTTGTGGAAATCTCCTACAAATCTCCTACAACATTTAATCGCACACAACCAGCACACTCACTTCACGAAACGGCCACTGTACGGCTACAGTTAGATTCTATCGAATGAAGTGAATGCATGGGATATTAGTACTGGTGAAATTATGTGGGAGAGCACTAGGATTGGCTAGTCCAGGCAGACAGAGACAGAGACCTGGATCGTGCGCGAAAGGAAACCATGGAATGCCATAATCAGACTAACAACACAGATGATTGTATAATGTACCAAGGAATGATTACTGCCGGCACACCTCCGTGCAGAGTGTCTAGTCTTGTCAGCCAGACGTTCACAATATGCTTATGATAATAATGACATTACATGCCTCACCCAATACTGAGAAGAGCCAAACCACTAGGTTGTTACAAGCACCTCTACACTCTCTAGGCAATGTTGACACGAATCAATGCATGCTCTACAGTCATATCTACACAGGGAATGCATGTCACACTGTACTGATGATGTCACCACAATTCCATTTCACCCCTCCGCCTGGTGACATACGAGGGCAGCACTAGAAGTCATAACACGGTTTGTAGTAGCAGATAGCAGGACAGTGCTCATGGACGATAGCGAGATGGCAAGCTGATCGTGTTGCGGTCACGCAACTGCCTTTGCGGTTCAGGGAGGCGAGCGAGCCGATAGCCGTGCCAGTCAACGTCTTGGTCAGCATCGTCATCGGTGGAATCTTGGATAGGCGGGAGAGGATCGGCACCCTGAGTGGGTGCGGGACTTGGAGGACGGCCGTCAGACTTCAGGAGGTCCACGTTGATGACCTTCTCAGCACCATCACGGTTTATTACGACGGTCGACGGGGAGATAACTTTCGTGACCGACCAGCCCGGTTGAAACGGAGGCAGACGCTTCTGGTGGCGCGAGGGCTGTTTCAGTTGGACAGCATCACCGGATTGGAAACGGCAAGCAGCATCGTCGGCACGGAAATCACGGGAAGACATGGCCGAGTCGAGGAGATCGCGAACACGGGCACACCGTTCGGCATGCTCAACCTGCCAGGCAGGCGACTCCAGATCGGCGCTCAGAACGATCGTCTTCGGCTGCCAGCCCAGCATGGCCATCATCGGGGTGATGCTCGTAGCACGGTGGGGTCGGGTTCGGTAGTGATGAAGAAGTACCGGCAGATCTGGCACCCAGTCAGTGGTGTCCTCGCCTAGCTTCCGGATCATGGTCAGCAGGGTGCGGTTGAACCGCTCGGCGGAACCCTGCGACTGGGGATGGCGCACGGCGCCGGTCTTGACGGTGATGCCAAAGGCGTCAAACAGGGACTTCACGAGGGCGTTGGAGAACTCTGAGCCATTGTCCACGCGGATAACGTCGGGGGCACCCCATCTGTAGCACAGCCGGGTGAAAGCGGCAGCGACGGACTGCCCATCGTGGCGAAGCAGTGGTACGACCTCTGCCCACTTGGTGTAAGCATCGACGGCGACGAGAACACAGGAGTATCGACCACTGCGGTCCGTCCCAAGCTCGAGGGTGTCGATGACCACAGTACTCCATGGGCGGCTGGGAATATCGGGTCGAGTGGGCGGAGCGGAACGAGTGCCAGAGGTAGTAGCGGCGCGGCACTGGCGGCATTGCTGGACGTGCGACTGACACTTCTCGGCCATGTGCGGGAAGTAGCATTGCTGCCGGAGCGACTCGTACATGGCCTGCCAAGCGGCATGGCCCGACGCGGAATGCGCGACGGTGATGGCAGCATCCTCCTGCGAACTGGGGAGTACCGGGACAACAATGTCGCCAAGTACAGGAACCTTTACACTGCGACACAGAAGATCATCACGCAGGCACAGTTGGGATCGGACGGCTTTGAAGGCACTGGCGGACACAGGTGTATCATCGCGTACCTGTTGGATGGCTTCCTGGAGCTGTGGATCAGCCGGCTGCGCAGCCCGCACCTCCGCCAGTTGGAGGGGGCTTGGGACAGCAGCACTCACGGTCTCGGGAGCAGCATCCGCAGCAGCTTCTGGACATGGAGTCTTCGGCCAGGCAGGTGGGACGCGGGTCAAGCCATCCGCCTTGTTGCTGTCGGTGGGGACCCAGGCGACTACAACGTCCATGCCTGTGGTGGTGATTAGGTCGTTGACGATTTGGAGCCGGCGCTGAACGAGTACTTCGTGCAGACCACCAACACGCACACGTTGCAGGCCCCCAACGACTTGGGTCAGCCAGGCAGCCACGGTCTTCGAGTCAGTGTTCAGGATGACTCGGCGGACGTGCCATTTAACGGCGAGAGATAGGCCCTTGATGGCAGCGTCAAGCTCGGCGACGTTGATATGCCGCTTGTCCTGGACGGGGCGAAGCCAAGAAGCGTCCTCCACGATCTCTCCATCCAGCTCCAGTGCGACGCCAGTGGCCAGATTCGACGCGTCACACCACACGGCCCAGATAGAGTGCTCGCCGGCGTTAACATCCCACAGGCCGCGGACGGGATCGGCAGTGCTTAGCTTCGCAAACAGCATGTCACAGCACTCGACAACGGCAGGTGATACGGGGTCGTCCCAGGAACGGCAGTCGCCTGTAGCCAGTCGCTTCAGGTAGCTGCAAGCCGGGCGGAGCCACGCACATACAGGGTAGTGGCCAGTCAGACGTCCACACCACGCAAATACTGAACGTCGCGTCGGGCTTGTGGGCGGGGCAAGATCCATGTCACGGCGGCGCCAGATGGTGCGCCCTTGATCGTCAGTTGCCAGCTGCATGCCGAGTACGCGGGACGTCGTGAGCGGCTCCGGAGATTTCGTTGGTAGACCGTACGCCGACAGTTGGGCCTTGAGTGGGCCCGTCTCGGTGGCAGGAGTACGGATGTCGTCAACGTAGTTGTCCACGGCGGGACGGTCCCGAGTGACCCACTGGACGATCAGGTGCATAAACTTCGGCGCAATCGCGAGGCCAAAGCCCATCCGGGTCATTACGAACATCTTCCCCTTCCATACGACCCCCTGGTAGCGGACGAGGGCAGGGTCGATGTGGACTTGAAGATATGCCTTACGGATGTCGAGCATGTCCCACTCACGGCCATCCGTCTGACGCCAGGCGCGGACCTTCTCAGCACAGACGGGGGCTTCGGACCCAGGCTGGGACTTCAGGAGAGCATTCAGTTGTCGATAGTCCAGGCACGGGCGGACTGGAGTGGAAGACTTATGCTCCTGTACGCGAGCCAGCAGGGGCAGCACACCTGCGATCTTCCCATGGACGCTTTCATCGTGCGGAACCAGCCAGCCGTTGGAAATCCAGCCATCGATCTCCTGACTGAAGTGCTCCTCCTGCTCCGCGGTCAACCCCTTGCGACTGTATTGACCAATGCCAGAACCCACCGGAGCTGGTGGCGGGTGACCATCGGCCCAAGCCCACGTGAGGGTCCAGCGGCGAGTACGGCTGCACCACCGGATGGTGCCGTCGCCAACGCTGAGCAGCACGTCGTCGCCGTCAGTGGTCACATTGACGTGCCGAGATGGGTGTGGGACGTCAGCATCCTTCGGCACAGCGACGGAGGCAGTGGCCTGGTCAGGACCGAACTGAACACTCTGCAACTGGCCATCGGCATAGGCTAGGCGCAGACCGCCGCTACGGCTGCTGACATCCGACCCGAGGAGCAGGTCAGCACGAACCACACTCAAATCGGCAGCAACCAAGACAGAGATGGTCTGCTCCGGAAATCGGACTGTATCGTCCATGCGTTGCAAAGTCACGGTGGCCTGGCCGAGGATGCGCAGGGGTTGTCCATCGAGGGCAAGCAGCTCGGTAAACCCGGAAGGAGCCGACCAGTGTAGACCGCAGGCGAGTGCAGACTCCTTAGAGATGAGGGACCGGGTTGCTCCGGTATCGATGACTGCGATCACACAGTGGTTGGCCTGTTGCTCCTGCCATATGTTGAGGTGAATCCGTGGTAACTTCCCATGAGAGGGGACGGCCAAGGAACAGAGAACTTGGTCAGAAGCATGCGCAGCTGCCGATGCAGCAGTGCCCTTCTTGGCCTGTCGAGCGAGCCAAGCCTGGCGCTCAGGACACTCCGACTTGCGATGCCCTTCCGCATCGCAGAAGTAGCACGTGATCCTGGCTCTTGGCGTGCTGCGCGAAGTGGGAGTTACACGGGTCGACGAGCGCTCCGGGCAGTCACGACGCACGTGTCCCACGGCCTGGCATCTGAAGCAAACGACGTTGCTACGTGTAGCTGAGCCTGCGCCTGCGGTTGAAGAGCGTGTACCTGTCCCAGCGCTGGACCCGCTGCTCGGACCACGGCTCGAACCACTCGAACTCGAAGTACCCCTGGCCCGCCCGCCAGTCGTAGCAGCCGCGTAGTCGAAGTCCGCGTCAGTGGCTGACGCAGCAGATGGAATATCGGCAGGCTCCTGGTCGCGCTCCGCGACACGAATGGCTCGGAGGAGCTCGAGGGACGCACTGACGGTCAGAGCTTTCCCAACCATTGACAAACGAATTTGTTGGGCCCAAGCAGGAGGCAGGCCAGCAAGAAGTTGCTGGACGATGATACTGTTGTCGTCTCCAGTGGCGTCATGGCCAGCGAGAGTAGCAAGGCGTTGCAAATCAGCGACGTATGCGTCCGGGGACTCTTGGCTGCGATACCTCCTCCCCGTCAGCAGTTTGAAAGCCTGGGACTTTGTAACGGAGAACGCCTCCTCCAGCTTGGCTTTCACAGCGTCCATCTTCTTCTGATCCTCTTCCGACATCCTGGTGAAGACTAGGAACGCGTCACCGTCCAGGAAGAGCGGCAATTGCTTGGCCTTCTTGGTATCGGTATCCCAACCATTGATGCCCGCCAAGACTCCGAACTTCGCCCAGAACGTGTTAAAGTCATCACCTGGGCGCCCGCGGAACGGCCGTAAGTAGCCTTCCGCTTTCGAATTCAACATGGCAAGTGTACTGAAAAACCTGGTTGAGACAAACGCCGGGTTTCGGCACCACGCTGTTGTGGAAATCTCCTACAAATCTCCTACAACATTTAATCGCACACAACCAGCACACTCACTTCACGAAACGGCCACTGTACGGCTACAGTTAGATTCTATCGAATGAAGTGAATGCATGGGATATTAGTACTGGTGAAATTATGTGGGAGAGCACTAGGATTGGCTAGTCCAGGCAGACAGAGACAGAGACCTGGATCGTGCGCGAAAGGAAACCATGGAATGCCATAATCAGACTAACAACACAGATGATTGTATAATGTACCAAGGAATGATTACTGCCGGCACACCTCCGTGCAGAGTGTCTAGTCTTGTCAGCCAGACGTTCACAATATGCTTATGATAATAATGACATTACATGCCTCACCCAATACTGAGAAGAGCCAAACCACTAGGTTGTTACAAGCACCTCTACACTCTCTAGGCAATGTTGACACGAATCAATGCATGCTCTACAGTCATATCTACACAGGGAATGCATGTCACACTGTACTGATGATGTCACCACAATTCCATTTCAGGGTTAGACAAGAGGAAGTAGTCATAGGATTCAAGTGGTCACAAGACCGGGCCTCTGCCAACCGTGGAGGTTGTAGAAAGGAGCACTGTTTTCGAATACAGTGCATCCTCCTCCTTGTAACATGCTGTCAACCAAACAACGTGTTTTCCACCAAGCAAGGCTAGCTTAGTACAAGTTCAAATTAGTACAGTAGTCTGAAAAACAAACGGCACCGTCACGCTACGATGTAGTACAGACTACAGTGTGAGTGTTACACACAAGCACTTGAAAATACACCTACCGATGAGCTGGCTCTTTTCCGTTGCTGAAAGTAAGTTATGAAGAAAGTGTCTGCTCCAAACGTGGGAGCTCACGCTTCCTGCCGACTTACTTGACACTTGACTGACTCAGTCACGACTGCCACCCGGAGCAGATGAAGCCCGTCACGCTTCCTGCCACTCGACTAACTCACGACTGCGTCTAGAGCACACAAGAAGCCCTGTCGAACCTTCCACTCGGCAAACATGCAAGAAAGCACCACTCCCTGCTAAATACACAGTTTTTCAGGGAATTCACCCCTTATCAGTTGAGCTGGAGTCAGTCGGCAGGAAGCGCGAGCTCCGACATTTGGAGCGGAAACTTTCTTCACATGTCGCGACATACTGAAAAAAGTAAGTTGTAGTTTCCAGAATTACCGTACTCGCACGATTAGTGCCCCTAGCCCTGGGTAGTCTACTAGTTTTCAGTGTCCCTCACAGATGGGGCACTATTCAAGAGAGGGCACTATTTTTTCAATGCTACTGCATTTACGTCATCCAGCATAGAAACAAAGAACTCCTGTACTGCGAAGTAGAAGACAAAGAAAAACAGAGCCTAAAGTGTGCTGTAAACTATCACGACTTAACAGAAACGGCAACAAGAACTGCGATTGTGAATTTTGTGATCCTGAAATCACCAGTGCAATGAGATGGACAGAACGCAGAACCAACTACAATGTACTTGAAAATGCGCTTGGTTACAAGCCCGGGGAGGGGGGCTTTCTAAGAGAGGGCTTTATTTTCACAATCACAGGCTCTTTAGACTGGGGCACTGTTCGAGATAGGACACTAAGAGAGGGCTCTAGTCACACGAGTACGGTATTACTATAGCCGCCAACCCTTTGACAGTTACTGTAATTTAAAGTGTTCTTTTCGTGTAGCTTTCCTTCAATTCCGATATTTTTCACTGATGAGCGAATTGCGAAAATTTAGATTTCGGAATACTCGTATACCGGTAATAATAAGCTTCAAAAAAACTCTACAACGTCGTATTATGTTGTTGTTGTTGTTGTGTTTATTTTAATTCGCAAACCAAACAGGCAGATCTGCCCAATGAAAAGGTGGCGAATGCAGATAGAAAGCAGTAATAAATGAAATTGGGGACTGATGTAATTAGGATAGAGGTGGAGAAAAACTAAGCCAGCTGATCATCAAACAGGACGTTTGGTACTCATGTGTGTTTGGCCATGCCTGCATCGATTATACTCTTGATTGCTACCCAGTATAATTAATGCTTTCTCCACGCCGACTTTTAATATTCTATTCAGAAGATGTAAAGATTTGCCAAGAAACCTGCAACCAGTTAAGACATCGCACTATGCACAAGTAAGAACCACATGCATGTGAGTAGGCTTTCCCCAAATCGGCCCGTTTTTCGCCTATTCGGCTTTTCGCTATTAAAGCTCAAAAGTACATCAGATTCGGCTGCAAAATCAGCTGATCGTTCGGAAATCAGCTGCAAAATCGGAATATATTGGAAAATCAGCTAAAAGAATTGTTGGCATATCGGCTTCAAAATTGGTGAGATATTGGAAGATTTGATAGATTTTCGGCGATTCTCAAAGAAACCTTCCAAAATCGGCGAAAAGCTTGGCGATTTTTCGATAAGTCTCGTTTTCTGCGAATTTTTCGGCCGGCCGATTTCTGGATTTCACTAGTAACGATCTTCCTAATGGCTAATGTTTCTTTGACAGAGGTCAAAGGATACGAGTCACACCTAGCCCTTTCCCAAAGGTGCTCTTTTAATTCGCACTTAGTGCTAGCTTTTCATGTCCCTCAAAATATGCTGAAAAAGTGCTCTTTTTTCAGTGAAAACAGGCAAAAAGTGCTCTTTTTTCGGTGAAGCATAGCCATGATACATGTTCAGATATGAACCCAAGCTGACAAATGAATACGCACTCTTCCATTTATGGGTCCACGAAAGGCAAAACAGGAAATAAAGTTCAAAAGACCCACTTTTTACAGCATTGTGTACATCGGGTACAAGCTTCACCAACGTTACTTGTTGCCCCCCCCCAAAAAAAAAGCGGCGTGCCAAGGCCCATCGATATCGAGCACTCGGAAACTGTGATCGCATGCTTGAGCAAACAGATTTTTAGCACTTTTCAGCTAAAAAAGCTTAAAAAGGCGATATTCACCAAGAAACGCAATAAAGGGCGAAAGAAACGGGCTTTTCCAAAAAGGGCCAAAAAGGGCGAGCACCTTTGGGAAAGGGCTAGTCACACCACCTCAACGCACTAGCACTACAAGCACTGAAGTAGAGAGCTCCAGCTTCCAGCAACATCATTCATTCGTAAACGCACTTTGCAACAGCATTTGGTAGGTTTTCCGCGATTCTCGAAGAAACCCTCCAAAATCGGCGAAAGGCTTAGCGATTTTTCGATAAGTCTCGTTTTTGGCGAATTTTTCGGCCGGCTGATTTGGGGAAAGCCTAGATGTGAGTGGCAAGTAATAGTTGATGCTATGAATATTAGTTCTTCATGATCATGTTCATCTGCGTTTTCTAGTCTCTCATCTCACTCAATACAAAAAAAAACATTAATAAAACTCACTAAACAATCTACAAAATTAATAGCACAGACATGCAAATGATGTAAGTCGTGTAGATGCAAAGAAATGATCACATAATGAAATCACCAAAAGCGAAGAGTTCAATGATGCAAATTCTCTCAGCGACAGTCCACAATATTCGAAGAAAATTATGAAAAGAAATCATCCAATTACAAGGTCCAAAGTCTAAAGATCAAAGGTCAACACAGTGAATCCTCGAAAAGGAAGGAAAGAATGTCCAGCCGAAACGCAAAAGTACAGCCACACGTACACACGTACACATACACATACACACGTACATACACACACACACACACACACACACACACACACACACACAAACACTCAAGTATACACACATACATGTACACGCACGTACAAGCAGAACTACTACCATGCCTGCACACACAGAGACACATGTGTACTCCAAAGAACATACACAGGCGGACAGTATGCCAGGAGGAAGCAATAGACCAACACGAAGCTTTCTTCATCAGGACAAAAATCTGTCTTTGTAAATTCTCCCACCTCCTCATTCCTCACTCTCACTTTCTCCTTTATTGTCGTACTCGTCTTCTTCGTCATTCTCCTCTTCGTCGGGCCAGCGAAACCGCCTATACTGCACACTCAGATCATCTCTGGCCATGGCACATAGAGCCTCATGCAGCCGTTGAGACACTAGAGCTCTTTCAGGCATCCGCAGCTCCTTCAGAGACAAGCAGCTCTCAACAGCGGCAGCAAACAGCTTTGCTTCATCGGCAGCATCTCGGAAATCATTCCTCCCCACTCTGAGCATGGAGAGCTTGGGTAGACTGAGCAGGAGTGACACAAGCACCGGTAGAGCTCCTGAAGAGAGGCAGTCGTCGTCCAGGTGCAGCTGCTGTAGGCGTCGGCACTGACTTAGCCTACCACGAACGGTTTCCAGGAAATCTCCAGTTAGCTCATTGCGACTGATTGATAGGAACTGCAAACTCTCGTGTTGCTGGTGAATGATTCGGCTCACGATCGTAACGGAGTTTTGCTTCATCCCAACCTTGTCCAGCCACAGCATTCCCAGCCTCAGTGCTCCTAACAATGGTGCTAGCTGGGCTAGACCTTCCATATCCAGTACGTAGTCAGTGAGACCGACATACTGGAGATCTGGGCAGCTGCTGCATACCCTAGTTATAATATCAAGGTTGACTGCTGGATCGGTGCAGCCTTGACCTCCAAGGGGCACTGCCAGCAGTCCCGTACAGCGGTGTGTGTTGCTGTGGACGGACGGTGGCCATAGCATTACTGCTGAAGAGATTCTTGGTGGCATAGAGTTCTCGCATTGTTGACGTGTTGGATGCGATACACGCTGCGATATGGGCCGTGTGATGATCTGTTAGGTTGTTCAGTTGCAGGTTGATGTACGTAAGATTGTATAGTAGAGCCATGCCATCAGCTATGCATGCGTACCCGGTATCACCTATACCATAGTACGACAGGTTGATGCGGGTGGTGAACTGGTGGTGGTGAATCATGACTGCGTTGGCGGCCTGGCAATCGGATAGTGTGAGAGGAACCTCCTTGAAATCCACTCCATACTGCTTGATGATGTCTTGCATGCCGGGGATGTCTGTGATGCTGCTTCGCTGGGCGTTGACGTGCTCCGCGAAAACCCGGAAGGCGTAGCGGATTTGTTGCTTTCGTTCCGTGGCACTGACATTGTCCTGGGCTGCGGATGGCTGAGCTGCTTCATCGGATGGAGGAACTGGAGATAGCTTTGACTCGGGAGTGATGGTGAAGCATCGAAAGGCCGATCCGTGTGCCTCGTTGGCCACGCAGTCATGCAGAGTTTGTGTGCTGGCACTGGGGACACGATCCGTCCAAGTGGTTAGCAGTGAACGCACAAAATCCTGGCAGGTGATTTTGGTGACGGCTGGGTCAATTTTGCGGCGGACCACTTCTGAAGTAGACAATGCCATGTCGATCCTGCCAGCCAGCAACTCTTCTGCAAGATGCTCTGCTTCGGCCAGCGAGAGGAAGGAGGAAACGTGATCAGCCCATTTCATGATGTGGTCGTGCGTTGTGAAGAGAAAACACATAATGTTGTGCCCCTGTGCTCCTGTGGAATGCTGGTCGGTATCATGTGGCTGAGTAGAAGACATGGTCTGCGGATTGAGAATGGCTTCAATCAACACTTTGACCGACTCACTGTTCAGATCAGTGGCCAGTAAGTGCCAGAACATGTTGAGGCTGCGTGTGAATGCTCCAAGGCGCTGCACAAGCCAGGCGACATCAGCTGCACTTGGACTGCGGCTAGCGATGTAGCGAGATGCTGGAGCTTCCTGAAGTTCCAGGTGGCTGAAACGCCACTGAGCCCTGGACTGTGGTGTTGCCGTGTCGCAGCCGATGAGCATGCCGAGTGTGCAAGCTGCCGATGACAGTGAAAACAATTTGAAATCGGCCGCGTTGAAGACAACTGTCTGACGGATGAGCATGTTAAAACTTAAAAGCGAACCGGCAGAGATCATGTACATAATTCTGGAAGTCATCGGGAACATCGTCCCGATTGGTAGTGATCACCATCATGCGCTTGCTTCGATTTCTGCTGTCGCAGTATATGAAGGATCAGCGAGTTGAAGATTGCAGACGGCGTGTTTGGCAGGCAATGGTTGTGTCGGTAGAGGTTGCAGGTTGCTTGGGCGAAAAACGGTGTGCGCATCATTGTGGCCAGCTGTGGATTGGTGCGAAGCTCTGTTAGCAACTTTGCTGCATTGTCTGGAGACAGGACATTGCGAATGTAGTGCTCCAAACCCTGCTTCTCAAAGCCTAGCAGCTCCAGACGACTTTGGGAGACTATCTTTAAAAAATGGCTTTTTGCTAGCTTCATTGCTTCTGGTGAATGGTGCGACGTGATGATCAGGTTGATTCCTGGCCATTCTTTGCCACGGATGGCGTCGATCATTAACTTGCTGCAGTCGGTGAGCTTGATCTCGTCCAATCCGTCGAGAATGATACAGACAGATTCAGGATGATTGCGAACAAAACAATGACTTCAGCCTGCTCACCTGGTGTTGTGATGCCATATTTCTGCAAATCCAGCAGCTCAGCGATGCTTGTGATATTGCGCACTTCTGCTAAGCGCAGCTCCAAAGCACGCAGGACAACAATATTTGGCCCGATCTGCCCCCTTGCCCATTCATACGGACCCTTCTTAGTGAAGAGCATGGTTTTGTCTGCTCCAGGCGATGAGAAGGCAATGGCACGGAAAGCCTTCCCGCGTATGCGTTTTCGCATGGCTCTCTTGGCAGTGATGATTTCAGCAAGTTTAACCTTGCGCTGCTTCCTAGCTTCAGATGCAAAAGAACGAGCCAGCTGCTCATTGCCCACAGTTGTGCTGAGTTCATGGAGATCAGCATAAAACTCGTCCATTTGCAGGATTCTCTCCTTCTCTTCATTGGTCACCTCTATGCAGAACTGCACATTGCTGTAAGCAGCACACAGACAGTCATGGTATTTCTTCACTGCAGCATGAAGTGAGCTTGCTCCTGGCCCCATGCTGCAGATCCACAGTAGGAAAGGCAGTAGCTTCACTAAAACAAACAACAGTTGCTAGCTAGTGGGGCAAGCTAGAGTTATCAGCACAGATCGCTGTATGTACACTGTATGATTTGTTAGCGTGCAAGTCATTTCTCTTGTACCTGTGCGGTGTTTATACTTTATGCATGACGTACTAGTAGCTGCACTTAATACAATACACTTCACTGTACACATACTGGCAACAACAGCAGCATTATAATTATCTTGCTAGTATGAGTACAATGTGCATTTATGTGAGAGTTTGACTGAGTTCGGATACCTGTGCCTACAATGTCATGTATGTTGCTGGCCTCCCTCTCACACGCAATAACTACACTGCTGTAGTCAAGTGTGTTCCTTGGGTACTACTTGTCTGTCCCTGCGGGAAATTGCGGAAAAAACTCTCGAAAACTTGCGCAAGAAATTGCGGCAGAACAAAAAATGTGACGAAAAGTGCGGAATGATGCAGAACTTGCCAGGAATTCGCGGAATTATTTGCAGAAAATTGCGGATTTGGGCCAAATCACGAAATTATTTGCATCGTACATCTACTCGGGAGTCGTACTGTGCAAATAACCTACAGGATCATGGAAAGAACTGCGTGAAAAGTGCATACAAATGTGAGATATAGTGCAGAAAACAACAAAAACGCGGGAAATCGCGGATTTTGCTGAAAATCGCGGGTTTGGACCAAAATCGCGAAATTTGTTGCATCCGTGGAATCGCGGTTTCCTGGAGGGACAGACTTGTGCTACATCACGACTTAGTACAATCCTGCTGAGAGCTGCTGCTGTATGCCGCTTCATTATAATAAACTTACTTTAAAAGTTTGATATCACGGGCAAGTGCTGGCACTTAACTTATGCCTAAGTTTTGGCACTTGTGCTTGTTCACATTATACTACACAGCAGCAGCAGCACAGTTAGAAACACAATCCACTTCTGTTTGCAAGCCGCAGGATGGTAAATGTGTGAGACACTCACCTGTACTGTGCTGTCCCTCCAGGAAATCGCGATTCCACGGATGCAACAAATTTCGCGATTTTGGCCTAAACCCGCCATTTTCAGCAAAATCCGCGATTTCCCGCGTTTTTGTTGTTTTCTGCACTATATCTCACATTTTTCTGCACTTTTCACGCAGTTCTTTCCATGATCCGGTAGGTTATTTGCACAGTACGACTCCCGAGTAGATAAACGATGTAACAAATTTCGTGATTTGGCCCAAATCCGCAATTTTCTGCAAATAATTCCACGAATTCCTGGCAAGTTCTGCATCATTCCGCACTTTTCGTAGCATTTTTTGTTAATTTCTGCCGCAATTTCTTGCGCAAGTTTTCGAGAGTTTTTTTCCGCAAATTCCCGCAGGGACAGACTGTGTCTCAGTCCTTGCCGCACAGTATACGGTCATGTATCACTGCACTGCCTGGTCACTGGTATGAATGCAGCAGGGAATAGAATTCTCCATCAAGGACCACTTGTCTAAGTAAACGGGTAAGCAGCAGTATTCGGCCGTGTACAGATTATTCATCAGCCACCACAATTATAACTGCGCTCTCCAGCCTACCTCGAAAACGACGTTGTCATAGCACACCATGTATACATGTACCGCCAGTGCACCAGCAAAGCGACACATCCGTTGGTTCTGAATTCCTTCGTACAGTGTACAGCTGTTTCCAATATAAAGACAGCTTAGTATAATACAACTCTGCGTCTCTCGTCAGTGAAGGTACATGTAGATGTTATTGTACCGTAGAATGGCTAATGAAGTGTCTGCTCCCGGTTAACGTCGGAGCTCGCGCTTCCAGTCGACTGACTTGACTGATTCACAACTCAGTGCGTCTGGAGCACCCGAGAAGCCCGTCGAACCTTTCACTCGGCAAACCTGCAAGAAAGCACCACTGCCTGCTCAATACACAGTGTTTCAAGGAATTCACCCCTCACCTTGACTCAAAATGAAATTATTTCTGCTCCGAGAGCACTATACTACATAATCATTAAATCGCGCTCTCTGACCCAAGCATCACTAGGGATACCAACTAACTTACACTGTACTACTACCGGTATTACTAAGAAGGAAGTGACGTTCCGCTTCCAGCGCAACAAACACCTCGTGAGCACCATGTAGACCTACCAGATAGCAGCGCGAGTCAGTTTCGCACATGGAGTTGTGAGAACGTCTAGACATTGATGCAGTGCTCTCGGAGCAGAAATTTCATTAGCCTTCTCAAGCTCAACTGATGAGTGGTGAATTCCCCGAAACTCTGTGAGCAGGGAGTGGTGCTTTCTCGCAGGTTTGCTGAGTGAACGGTTCGACGGGTTTTTCTCGTGCGCTCCAGACGCAGTCGTGAGTCAGTCAAGTGTCAAGTCAGTCGGCAGGAAGCGCGAGCAACGACGTTCGGACCAGACACTTCCTTCACTAATCACCGCCAATGTCGCAACATCTTTCGTAGAATGGCTAAGATAGTGAAAATCGCCCATGTGCATAATATATCTGCAAACAAAAGCCGAATCAAAGAGTTTAGAGTGTGGAGAAAAAACTTGAAACAAGGTGAAGTGCAAGGAGTCGTCAAATACCGGTATTTGACGACCTAACTTTCCCCATGCATGTTATATGTGTTGCTATTCGTGACCAGATAATTGTTGAGAACGTACTATTGCCCCTGATGAAGGTTTCTGGAAAAATGTTGAAAGGTCTCTGCTGGGATGACAGCTACACCATAGCTCGGTGGTTAGAGCATCGCTGGCCTCAAGCGAAGGTCCCTGGTTCGAGTCCTGGTGGTGACAGTCAATTTTTTCTACAGATTTTTCCCGTCTGCATCTTTCCCCTCAAACTAATAGTCGTATTGTTATGCCATGATTTTGTTATTGCTACGTACAATGTCTGACTCAGTACAGATCTTATCTCAGCGTCGCCTATTCACAAAGTATTATGTGAACGATTATGCAAGACAAGGACAATTTTCTTTGAGCAAACAATTTGATCTAGCTGGGAAAGATAAAAAATATTTAATATTCCCAGCATGTGCAACAACAAAGAGTGAAAGAAAAAAGTGCTATAAACGCGGATCCCGCGAATATTATATTATTATATGGAGCTTATAATTTAGACAGATGTGGAGATGAGAAGTATTGATCTAAACTAAAAAAGTTTAAAACGCTCACTTTCATGTTTTCACGGCTACATTCTGGTTATAGATGCGGATATCATTATAGTTACGGTAACATTATTTAGACACACGTGGCATGCATGATACCGGCTGAGGAAATGATGCCGGGTGTGCATTATTTTCCAGAAAGGCAAATATTGGAATCTCTGGAAATAGATACACGTATTCCTCAAAGCCGTAAATAGCTACTTTAGGGAATACTACATGTACATGGCACACTGGTACATCATCACAACCAGCAAAGTGTAACACAGTGGGAGCGTGCCGTGGAGTGACAAGTCCGTGAATGCATCCCTATCAACCCGTGAACAGTGCATGGCTAGCAAGACATCAGAAAACGGCAGACATTGTACATGATTGTGCTTTTAGGCATGTACTAGCAACGTGGTGAATATCAAAGAGGGTGCGAACAAAAAAGCAATTGTGTGATACGAGAGAATTTTGACAAACGAAACAGTTCTGAGGTTCTGACTCAGTGAAGGTTATCCAGACCCGCCCATATAACCAGGGTTACTGATGCCAACACCTGCATCAATGGGAACACACACACATACACACATACATGCACACACACACACATGGACACACATGCACATATGTACACATACACGCACACATATACACACACACGCACATACACACACGCGCACACACACACACACACATGCACACACATGCACACACATACACACATCCATAACTTTATAATGTAGATTGAAGAAGGAGAAGCATGGGCACAGAGTGGAAAAGCAATCTCACAGTGACTGAATATTCGCAGTCCATATGGATATACTCCAGATAATACAGAACTGTGATTGTGCACATTGGAGAATTTTGCCTCACTCACATCGCCATTCGCAGATAAAAACAAGTGGCTGTTTTGTACAGTCACCACTCGTTCGGCTGCTCAGAAAAGAGCAGCCGAACGAATCTTCGAATCCAGCTGACAAGTCAGATGGCGATTCATACTCGTGCACGAGTTGCACAAACTCTCTATTGAGTATTGGTGGTATTCAGCTGCAGATCATCATGATGAGCACGCTAGCTTACCTGGTGTTTGGCCTATGAGGGCGTATGTATCGTCATCACTACCATTACCGCCTGTTAACATAGTACAGGTCAGACAAAGACAACAGCAGTTCGGAAAATGCCTGACACTGGGTGCAAACAAAGGATCATCATCGGCTAACCCTCGGCAAGTGTGATAACACTGTAGTAGTAGTATATATTATTTTAATAGGGGAACCCTACAGACGGTGTCGTCTTATTACAGGGAACCCTATGAATGATAGACACCAACAAGCTCTGAGCGACTGTGCATACCTGCACATGCCGGGCATAATGGGTATTTTCACAGAACACACCTGGTATTAAAGGTTACTAATGTCTTATTGTCAGCTATCACGTAATACACTCAATTCCTGTAAGCCGCATCGAATAATGAAAATTCACATCACTCATTATTGATGCACTCTATTGTCCGGAGTATAAACCACACTTTTAACAGCAGTATTTCACCTAAAACAAATCGGGGGATTTATACTACGATGGTCAAAATCACCGTGGTTAAAACAGGGTGAGATGTCTGTATTTCGTGACAATAAATCTGGCTGCGGCTTGTACTCCACTGTAGCTTATAGTCCGGAAAATACGGTACAGTCAGACCTCGCTTATCCGGTCCTCTTTTATCCGGATCCCTCACCAATTCGTAAGAAAATCGTTGGTTGCCTTTTTACAGCATATGGCATGCATACACGCAGTATGTGTGTTCGATTATCTGGCTCCCTCGCCTATCCGGATACTTTTGTGGAAAACGGATGTGTGCAGCTAAGCGAGGTCTGGCTGTACAAGTATAAACATATTGCTGGCAGTGCTTCACAACAACCCTGAGTGTGGTGCTACGCTAAGGGGACTTACCGTCTCTGTTCAACTTGTCATAATCCATGTTTGCATCGGGTGATTGTTCATATATTGGTGAGGTGATCTAAACAGCACATCAACAGATTCATTTGCCTTCAGTAGATTGTTGAGAAACCATTGCAAGAAAGAGTTTGCTCCCCACACCGGAGCTCGCGCTATTCCGCTATCTGGTGTTCACGAGGTGTTTGTCGCGCTGGAAACGGAGCGTCTCTGTAAGTTTGTATCCCTGGTCAGGGGCGTAGCCAGGATTGTGGCTGAGGGGGGTGCTCACTGGAAGTGTGGGCCTGCGGGAAAAAAGGGGGGGGGTCCGGGGGCCCTCCCCCGGAAAAATTTTCGATATTGAGTGCCAAATCCTTCATTTTTGCATCTATTTCATTATTTTCCATTCCACCAATGATTCAATAAAAAGTCAGATAATCGTATGAAACGCACAGTACTTTGCTACAGAAGTTGGATGGTAAGAGATTGACAGGGTGTGGTTAGACCCAGAATATAATACAGACAATTGTTGAAGTTCGTTCAATCCACGCAGACTCCGCCGGAAAGCGAAGGGCTAAACACCAGCCATGGCTTGTATACATCGAGCCAGCGGGGCTGAAAAGACCGGCCACCATTCTTCGGGAAAACAAACGAACTATCCGGTTGGACATGGTCCTTTAGCAGGGCAAACATCACGTCGTCGTCGAGCGGTGCACCCTTCGCAATGTCCTCCATAAAGGTACCGATGTCATTTCGGACGACTGCTACTGGTACAGCCAAGGGCGACAACTGCGGCTCTTCCGAGTCTTCGACTTCGACAATTTCGCAATTAGATTCGTCAGATTCGGAAATGGCACTGGCACTGCTGCTACTGGTATCTGGTCTCTTCGACTTCCCTCGACTGAAATACTTCAAGATCGACATTTTCATAAGAATCCATTCGACTTGCGGATCACAAAACGACGTTGCCACTTCTCTTTCACTTCTACCAAGTCTAGCTACACAAAGTGCGAGTCTATACCGGTAGTTGTACAACGCACGTGCAGCGCAGCGTCTTGTCGACGTCGAGTCTCGATCGCGGGCGGGCGTAGATCCACAGCAGTACGAAAATGGCACCTGAAATTTTTGAGGGGGGTGCTTGGGCACCCAAAGCACCCCCCCTGGCTACGCCACTGCTGGTGATGTTTGTGCCTGGAGAGCACTATATAAGTGGTGCTCTTCAGGCACAATCTTCCTCAGCCTACTCAAGCTCAACTGATGAGGGGTGAATTCCCCGAAACACTGTGTATTGAGCAGGGAGTGGTGCTTTCTTGCAGGTTTGCCGAGTCGAAGGTTCGATGGACTTCTCGTGTGCTCTGGATGGCTGTCGTGAGTCAGTCAAGTGTCAAGTAAAGTCGGCGGAATAGCGCGAGCTCCGGTGTGGGGAGCAAACTCTTTCTTACAAATTATCGCCGAAGTCGCAACCACTACTTCGTACCATTGCAAGAATTAGACATTAGGTTCCACACTGCGTTCAGTTGAGCAACTTAACGTAAGTGGTCGGAAAAACCCGTGAATTCGCGAGTTTGCACTCCATTTACGGAAAGCTGTCTACGTAGAGTACGTAGATGGAGCTCTATTGTTAACGGAGGTGCTCCGTAAGTGTGGATTGGGGTATAAATTGATAATTCTCTCCTCAGGCTGTACACTGTCGCGTTTGGAGCTGCCAAGGGCAACTACGTGATTCGAAAACTATGTATGGCGGAACACAGTTACACATACAGTGTACGTAGTGTTGGGTTTATCGGGTGTTAGTGGCCGTCGTGAGTTCCCTTCGGGAACGGACACGGTAATTTACTTTCTTTTTACTTTTGTACGTATTGTTAGATCGATTCAACCCGGCCCTCAGCCAATCAGAGCTCAGCAAGTGTTTTCTACTTGGCTTGCTGATGGCTGAACTCTTGTGTTTCTGCCTGCGGAAGGTGAAACAAGCTGAACAATTCTACCGGAGAAGAACGTAATAACTTGAATAACGTTGTTCGGAACCTATCTGTTACTTTGCAAACGGAACAATGGGCTTCGTTTGTGATAGTTGGATGCTGCAGCTGGAAAGAGAGTGATATAGAGATAGAGAGAGGGGAGAGAAAGAGACAGAGAGAACCATGAGAGAACACACACAAATGCACACACACACACTAGCATGCACCGATGTACACACACACACATACATACATACACAAACACACACACACACGCACACACACTGAGCTCACCTCTTCTCGTCCAGTCGTTTGAATGTTGTTGATACTCGGATCGTGGTACAGAGGGTTCTGAACAAAGGGCGGCGCGGCCCTGTCTGGCGCCTCGTAGGTGCTGCTGTCAAATGTAAACTCCTCTGCAGCTCGATCATCCATAAGTCCATCCCTCGCTCTGTTTTGCTCCACGCTCATACGAAGCTTAGCTCTGGATGTCTTGACCTTGTACGTAACTAGAGCAGTAATGGCAGCCAGGCCAGCAAGCAGACCAGCAACTACTCCCCATACAACGGGTTTGGAGACCGTCGATGATGGAACATCCGTGGCCTTGTTTGCGTCACTCTTTGGACCGTTGCCGGTCGATTTCCCCTTGTTTGCCCACCTCTGGCACAGGCTAGCTGCATCCGCCGGAACAGTGGGCCCCTTGCAGGATTTAGTGACGGCGGCATTAACCTCTTCTGGATCGACTGGCAGTCCATTCAGCAGAACGGTGAGAATGACTTCACCACCTCCAGATCCAGGCAGAATGTAAACATCGTCAGCGTAGTCCACTTCACCATCCGGACTTGGCAGTGGACTAGTCAAAACCAGCTGTCTCCATGCTTCCAGCTGAGCAGGTGTCAGCGGTCCCCCCGGAAAGACGTCAGTAACTACACCACTTCCAGGAACACACACGTATACTGACGAGGAGGATGCGGAGGAGTCACCTTCTGCTACACCAATGCTGGCGCCACCCTCTTGCGAGGTGCCGCTAGTTGATGTACCAGTTACTTTCCTTGGCACACAGTCCGCTTGGCCACACGGATCGTCCTTGCAAGCGTCCGCCAAGTACTGGCAAGTTGTCCCGGTGTACGACTCAGGACACTGACAGTCGAATCGGTCAACATCATCTACACACTTTCCCGGTCCGCAGTCGACAATGGCGCAATCATCTATATTTGTCTCACACATATCACCAGAAAACCCTGCAACACATGCACAATACATCTTGGCAGGACTGTCGCTACATCTAGCACCATTCAGACAGCTCGATGCCTGTGTCAAGCAGCGATCAATACGTTCGCCGCATTCCGTGCCGGTGAAACCCGGCTGGCATGCACAGCTGAAGCCGTTCAGAAGGTCCGTGCAGGTGGCATTGTTCTGGCAAACTGGCTGCGGTCCTGTAGGAGGTGGTGGAGGTGTGGGAAATAGCCCACCACCTGCTGGACGTGTGGGGCCATCTTCCACTACAAAGTCTCCAGGGTCAACTGTAAACGTGCAGTCATCGATCGGTGCGCAGGTATTAGCCGTGGTGTTCAGTCTGTATCCACTATTGCACTCGCAGAAAGCGAAAGATATATTCTCTCGAACACACATAGCCTCAGTTGGACATACCAGTGCTCCTGTGCTGCACGGATCAAGCAATGTCGCATTGAAGCTGACTGAGCCGAGAGACCATTCCGGGGGCATTCCATCGTCGGTGGCATTCACTTGAAGCACAAAATTACCTAGGTCTCCCAGGGGGTCTTCTTCAGCGTAGTCTGCAGTGGGGTCTTCTGGGCTGTCTTCAGTGCGGTTGCCGCGTGATAAGAGTTGTATGTAAGAGGAAGTTCCATTCACATAAACTCCAAACTGCGGCCCACTTTCCTCACCACTACTGGCTTCAATAGCGTATGATACGGTTTGGTTTGGTTCGGGATTTGTGCACACCAGCTGTCCAATGATAGCGCCTTCGGGGGTATCCTCTTTAAAGTTGCTGACGTCGATCAGGCGAATGTCAGACGGAGGTTCATTGACATCGATGATCGTGATGTTAAGTGTCTGGTTATAGGACATTGATGGCTGGCCATTATCAGAGGTTTCAATGATTAGCTCTAGGTAAGGGTTGGTGATGGCTTCGAAGTTTAGCCAAGCTGAGCTTTCCACCTCAAGTTGACCCAAGACCTCATTGACCTAAGGCACAGTAAAAACATAAATACAAACATTCATCAAGATGAACTCGGATGGAGAGCCAAGGATTATTTATATAAACATTAAAAGTAAAAAAGGACCAAGGAACTACAAGTAAAAGTTACACCATAATGTCCACTAACACTACCGGTTACGTAACAATCAGCTCATGCGATAACATTGCACGAAACTGACCGACGGTACTGACGTTCTACAACTAACTGGCTAACAGCTCTAGCACATCTTGGATGCGCACTCCAATAGCCTTCCAACTTGGAAGGTTCTCTAAGTTATAAATAACATCCACGCAAGTTGTGTGGAATGTTGCTTTGCGTCCTTGAATCGTGATTTGACCATATTGTCCAATGGTCTTGCCAGTATCGTCATCAACATGCATGAACATCCGCCAATGTCCTTCACAGCTGAGACTTTCAGCTCGTGCTTATCTTGGTTGCGCTCACCTTCCCCTCCTTATGTTATTTCTATAACTTAGAACCTTCCAAGTTGGAAGGCTGTTGGAGTGCGTATCCAAGATGTGCTAGAGCTGTTAGCCAGTTAGTTGTAGAACGTCAGTTGTTTTCGTGAGATCCTAGTGCCCCGTGGCACAACCCTCGTCACAGACACAAGCTCCTAATTCTCTTGTTGGTTAGAAGGTGTTCTTTATTGATCTGTCCCTGTTCTCGGGAGTTGTGTGATTATAGGAAAACAAGTGTGCAAAGTGAGTCGGACATGTATGGCAAAGTGTTGTATCGTGCCCTTTACAGTGGGTGCCCAATCGGGCAGAGCACAAACGAAAAGGGTGCCGTGAGTCAGTGCTGTCATGCAGCAACATCAGTACCGTCGGTCAGTGTCGTGCAATGTTATCGCATGAGCTGATTGTTTAGTAACTGGTGGTGTTAGTGGACATTATAGTGTAACTTGTAGTTCCTTGGTCCTTTTTACTTTTTTATAAATTGGTCAAGATGAAAGAAGATTCAGGAACAACAAGTCCAAAGTACAGCATTTTCACTACATCCTGCTACAGTCGCAAAGACTCGCAATAGTAAATGTGCCAGCAATCCTGTTGCATTGCTGCATGAGGCTAACCAGGGAAGATGGCAAGAGGCACACCTGCTCGGCCGACTCCCTTGCCTCTACTGGCATCAATCAGTCAACCTACACATAGATTTCATTTGTTTCTCTTATCTATAAGAACTATTATTGGTGTTTAAACGTGGACGTCGAGCCAAAGTAATCATGGATAAAAAGGACGAAATGTTACGAGTTATGACTAACTGCCTACCAACGTAACCAGATCATATACAGTCAGCGAGTGCGACAAAATGGCAACAAAACTGACAAGGAGTACTGAGATATTTTAGTGGTCACTGGGCTTATCTAATTGTCTATGGGACTTCAATTCAGCCGTCGACACATGATCAACTCTGCTCTTCAACACCAGAAATAGCCTATTTACTGTTGCTATTATCTTGAAATGTCATCTAATTTTGCGGCTCACTGGTCAATCATCAGGGTGACCATGGATCTCAGTGCAATCAGCTCGGCAATCAGCTCAGCCAGTTAACTGTTACTCTGAGCTCCAGTGATGAGACCTCACAGACGGTCAAAACAACCAGATGTACAGAGATTGAGTGGTTACTTGAAGCTTATCAGAGAGTATTGCAATCCAAAATTCATGTGGAGTCAATTCTCAGAAGAGAGAGAGAGAGAGAGAGAGAGAGAGAGAGAGAGAAAGAGAGGGAGAGAGAGAGAGAGGGTGAGAGAAAGAAAGAGAGAGAGAGAGTGAGAGAGAGAGAGAGAGAGAGAGAGAGAGTGAGAGAGTGAGAGAGAGAGCGAGTTAAGATGGAACCACATCTACCTCATGACCCTTACCGTGAAAGCATCGGATCCTTCTCCGAACAGAGCGTACGTAAATGCCTGTCCCTTGTCAGGATCAATGGTGGTTAGCTTGCCCACAACATGCCCAATTGGTGAGTTTTCGGACACGTTGTGCGTCCCAGAGAGTAGCACAGCTGTTGGCTGCTCGTTGACGTCCTCAAGAGTGAAGGACAGTGATTTGGCAATGGACAATGGCGGCTCGCCATCATCTGTGCAGTTGATGGTAATGTAGGCTACAGGACCTGATTCATAATCCAAAGCTGTGCTGTTCGAGACCTATGAAAACAAAAACACCAGAAACCGAGTATCATTATCACACCCTTCTTCAGGACTAATATCTGAACCGTATTGTTTTAACTCAGAAGTAAGGGCGAGGCTTCTTGCAGTTTCATTAGAAGAAAGGCATTCAAGCTGACAAGCTCGTTTCCACAACTCTGCAAAAACACTGTACATCATGTTCACATCAATTTCTATTTTATTTCTATTTCGGCATTTCGCCTTCATCAGGTCATAGTATCACTGTAAGATAGCTCAATACCTAAAATCGGCCCAACGATGGGACTGTTCTTATCTTTAGCACCTCTACAGATGCATGCAGCAAGAAATGACCATTTCCCATCGGAAATAGGAAATTTCAATCAACAAAATCATGGACAAAGCAGGAAAAAAAGTCGTGCACAAGGGTGTGTCGAACTGGCGAGGGGTGGAAAGTCATAACATTTCAACTCATGAAATCAGCAGAAAGATGCGCAGAAGACCAGTTTGTGACTTTTGGTAGCAGACTATTATTTTCCTCCGCATGTAATAAAGGAAAGTTATATTTCTACAGTTTTGCAACACACTAAGACAAATACTCTGGGAATTAGCTTTTACCAGGATATTGTGGGATGTGTGCTTAATGCTCTTGCATTTTGCCCTGACCCGTTTACCGCAGTGCAGTGGGATACTTGAAGGAGTAGGGTCACGCCTCCATGTTAACACACAGTTGAAGTTTTTGGAGGGCTAGGGGTGGGTTGAGGGCCCGGGATGGGGGCGCAGGGGAGGGGTGGGGCAGAGGGGAGGCCTTTGTCAATGCTCATCTCAAAAGATACACATTCATCGGTAAAAGAAACACTGCTGAAGCACAATCTGTTGTCAGGAAGAATACAGCAGGGCATGCAAGATTGGTTTTTCTTTTCAGCAAAACGGGCCGGGTGCCATTTGTGATTACACAGCAAAACAAAGCGAATGACGCCAATCTTGAATGCAGTACCAAGCAATGCAGTGCAGCGTGTGCGCTAGTTCGGATTGTTGCTAACAAGCACCAGCACAGCTAGTACCCCATAACCATATGTTTTTATCTGCTTGCCGGACTCACCTCCACAGTGATCTCCTCTTCTCCCATGATCACGGGATTGATGAGATCAAAACTCTCTCCACCTTGCTGCAGCCAACACGTGTGCGTTTGGTTCTGGTCTTCGTCGACCACTGTGAAATTTGCAACAACTGTGCCGTCCATGGGATGTTCCTCAAACGTTGCATTGTAATCAATTTGGATTTCACTTGGAACTTCATTCACGTCCAGTATCTTCACATACACAATGTTCTGCATAGAGATAAAAGGGAAATGTTTGCCAAGCGTGAGTGCTGGGAACAATGGCCTCTTGCAGCCTCAACCAAAAAGATAATGAGAGCTGCTCAAGAGAAGCTCTCTGCAGTATATTGATAATGAGAGCTGCTCAAGAGAAGCTCTCTGCAGTATATTGATAATGAGAGCTGCTCAAGAGAAGCTCTCTGCAGTATATTTATAATGAGAGCTGCTCAAGAGAAGCTCTCTGCAGTATATTGATAATGAGAGCTGTTTAAGAGAAGCTCTTTGCAGTATATTGATAATGGAGTACAATGTAGATGATGCTGATGCCAGTAGAAGACAAATTGTTTGGCTCGAGTGTGCTTTTTCAACAAGTGCACATGCATGTAAATTGTACATGGATCCGTGTTCGGGTACTGGGAACTAGTTTCGAGCATGTTGGGAACCTTTCAAAATCTTTAAAAAATAGTAAAAGTGGGTTGTGAGCACCGCTAGCTCACATTCATTCACTGCGTTTCACAAATTCATTTCAGGAAATAGTACTTCAACGTTTCGGTCGTAAAATACCCATCATCAGGAATGAAGAGGGGATGGGCACGGCTAGGATGGGTTTAACAATAGTGTTAGCAAAACAATCCTTTAAACAATTGATTGTACCTGATGACTGAGTGGTGGCTGTCCACTATCAGTGGTCTGCACGCGCACTTGCCACTCATTCCTGGTCTCATGATCGACACTTCTCAATAGGATCAGCTGGTCGCCATTGATAGCAAACATGGCTGCAAACAAACCGAAGTACAGAGTGTAGACATCACATCACATCAGGATTCATAAGGTGGGCATTGGATATTGGTGCATGAAGAGTTTGAAGGTGTTGGGGGCAGGTCGACTAATCTCAGTGATTCTTAATACAATTATTAATTTGTGCTGCTCTGGACAACATAGCAAACATTGCCTCGGGATGCATATCGGCCAGAAAGGCTAGCAGAGAAAATACAGTACAGCGGCGACTCGTGTCCGCTCGTCTAACTCACTGGCATCACTGACGTTGGCAATTTCCAGCACTTGGTATGTGTGCGTCTGTCCCAGATCCTCATCCTTAGTTGACAGTGGGCCAATGATGGTACCAGCTGGTGAGTTCTCCGGAACACCAGTACTGTTCAGGACCACCTCAGTTGGTGGGTCATTCACATCCACAACCTATCAAACAGACACACAGGAATGCAACAGTGAACACCCCACACGGCAACAAAGTAGCGAAGGCAATTTGCCGCAAACACCGACCCAGCTAGCGAACTGCGAGAGCATCCTGCACTACAAAGACTGAACTACACTGACCGTATGGCCTGCTGCCTGCCTCATCGTGGATGATTGGTGCCAGCAGTACTTAATGCTGCTTCCGCTCTGGCCATGGACGCCAAATGACGGCAGACTGAGTAAGTGCTGACAGTCAATACAGGGTCCTACTAGCATGCCCACATCTTTACAGTATGTACATTTTATACAATGCACCATATCCCCAGTGCCGAGAGACCACCTGTCACTGAGGACCAGTCATTTCAAATTCCTTTCAACATACATTTAAACCTGTGCTGAAAGACCACCTCTCTTCGAGGACCACCTTTCTTTGGAGGCCACCTGAATTTAATCACCACTTGGCTTGGAATACCGATTGTATTTCAGAACCAGCGTTCAGTCTCAGCGCTATGAATGAATGGTTAACACAAGTTTTACACAGGTTTTGCACAGGTTTCAAACAGGTTTTACACAGGTTTCACAGCACTACCACCATACAATGTTATGTATGATAACGTTGCTTACCGAGACATTGAACTCCGCTTGGGTAGTCAGTGGTGGTACTCCCGTATCTGTGGCATTCACCGTCAGCGTGTACAAGTCCCTGGTCTCGTAGTCCAGGTCATCGCTAGCTTCAACGATGTAGCCGCCCACGAGCATGAACGGAACGTCAGTTGTGTTCTGGTTCAGCAGTGTGAACGTGATATTTTGCACTTTCTCCACGTCATTGTCAGGGTCAACAGCTGAAATGGTACCAAGCTGCACAGGAGAGTAGAAGTGATACACGGAGAACAAAGAGCACTATTTGTAGGAAATCTTCAGAATGATTTGTGACCTTACTTACCATACAGCTTCTAGTTATGATAATATTGTACTATCGATACCTGTTTGCTCAAACTAAGAGAAACGAGCCTGAATGTTAAAGGTCACGCCAACTACAGAAGAGCAAGTGAGAGACCGATATATTGTGCAAGCCACCTTTGATCAAGAGTATGACGTCAGCACATGCTTACCTCGGCATGGGGTCCCAGGTTTTCATAGATTGTCACGTTGGACAGTTGGATCATGGTTGGCGCCTCGTTGACATCGGTCACATTGATGGTGAACTGCTTGTTGATGAAGAGGGGACTGACTGCATCATCATCCCAACATTGTATCTACGCAAGACCAGCATGATAATACCCACAATATACAATATACAGTACTTCAGTATGACGATATACACACAAAGGATGCATCTGATGATTGCACTACATGTATGTGCTAAAATTACAACAACACAGCCTTGGTCCGCTGTTGCATTGCATACAAATTCAAAAGAAATAGATTCTTTCGCTATGCTTGATGCCTGGAAGAGAGAAAATCAAAACTCTCGAAGTCACTGAGTCAAGGCTTTTTAGGGTATATTCTGTACTCTGGATGTCCGAGAGTCAGTCAAACTTGAATTTCAGTGGGAATTACAAGCTCACTTTGAACATGCCCACCTATTCTGCCTTGCGAGTGTAATTGTCCGCATGAATCTGCCTATACGATGTGGCACTCACCTCAATGTCATGTGACACCTCGTTCTCGTAGTCCAGGTTGTCCTTGGAGACGACCAGTACAGTGTCGTTGACAACCTACGCACATGCACAGTACATGACAGTAGGATAGACAGGAACGTCGGGAAACTTAACCCTGTACTGTCTGTACATACAAGCATCGATCCAATGGGATCGATGGGGTAGGCATTTCGAAATTATCGTCACTTGGTCAAATCTGTCAGCTGTTGCCTCGACAAATACCCAAAGCGATGTTTACGTCACTTGTTTGCAAGACTACACCTATTCAACTTCAAAAGTAGGTTCCCGGGAGTCTCCACAAAACAAATTGAGCTCGATACGGGCAACGGGAGTGACATGGTGGATGGAGACCGATCTCGAGCGTGAGCTCAGCGCTGGAGAGCGTTCCCTGGCTTGCAGCGCTGGACCAGTGCATTCTGTGGGATCGAGTGTGGGCGCATTGCGTTGTCTCGTCAAGGCCCTTCCAGGATGCCCAAGACCGTGGAAATTGTCCAATTCAAACCAAAGTTATGTCTCATTCTAGGTTCAGATTTGGTGATTGCGTGGGCTTGTATACATTTTTAATCGGACAGTAAAGGGTTAATGTTACATCTATGGCTGGTAGTATAAGCTTACCTTGAACGAATGAGCCAATGCGTTCAACACCAGGCAGTTGAAGCTTTGGGAGCCAGCGTGATCACCGAAGTTGTCCGGGTCGGTCACAGTCAGGTCTCCCACGACTGTGCCAATGGGGCTGTTCTCGGCAATCTGGGCACCACAGGCGAGGAAACGGCATGATGGTTAGCTTGATAGCATGATCGGGCCAATTCCGGCAAAAGGAAGCGTTCACTAGCCTTGTGTACACAAATATATAGGCTAGAAAAGACCGCGCGCGGCCATAACACAGCGAATTAAAATAAAACCGTTCCTGAAGGACGTGTGCATGTGTTGTTCTTACATGAGTATAGTCCAGGGTGATGTTGGTGGGTTTCTCATTGATGTCACTGATGTTCACAACCAAAACATCGATGAAGCGGAGACTGGGCAGGAGACCATCGTCACTGGAAACAGAAGCAAACACAGACCATGCACAGACCGGTTTCAGTTATGCCAACACTACCCACAAAGTCCATCCATAGTAAGGTCAGAGCAGAGCATTTAATGTTGGCTTCGGAGAATATGCGCACAATGAACAATGTAGCCCGTCACCATTGGAAGCTGTTGTGTTCGGAAACTATTCATGAATATAATTGTGATGCTGAAGCTGGTGTCACAAATACTTACAATATCACGCTGCTCTACGACTTGCACCTACTCCAGTTGCACACTCTTGTTTACTCTATTTTTTTCTTTTATTCTTTTCCCTTTTCCTTATATTTGTGTGCCTGTAATCGATCTCATGTAATAAGGCAACACTGCCAGTTTGTTCTTCGACATTAAATACACCAATCCAAAGTGCCTCTGGCTAACATTGAAGCTAACATACCTTGTTTGTATCCAGACAGTGAAGCTCGCGTTAGTCTCAAAGTCCCATGTATGATTGCCGGTAGATAACACGCCTGTCAACGGGTCGATTACAAATGCATCCAGCAAACTGGAGTCCATTGATGAGCTGTTCAGCCTGTAGCAAATCAAACAAAACGAAATCAGACGGTGAAGAGCCTGGCACATGTTTCTACCGTATTGATGTATACAAGTACAATGGTATAGGGTCACGGCTATTTTACAAGCTACCCTGGACGTATAAGATTTCTTTCCCCTGCCTTGCTTCTATTGGCGAGCTTTCACTAAATGTACAAGCTCTTCTTTCTCAGCTGCCTTGACAAGTAAACAGCTCTGCAATATTTCTGTTCAAGTTCATTCATTCTACATTAGGAAAATCCAACAATCCAAAAATCATACATTGTCACCAAGCTGTGCATGACCAGATCCCGGTGGCCCACTTACAACACTCCAGGTGCAGCGCCGAGAACTTCAAAAACGTGCGATTGATTGCTATCTTCATCTATAGCAATGACGTCACCGATGTACGAGCCACCTGGACTGTTCTCAGCTACATAGCCGGCAGCAATGAGCTCTAAAGCGGTCGGTGGTTCATTCAGGTCGTTCACATTAATCTGCAGCATCACGCACACACGCACACACACGATAAGCAGTGATCGAGTGCCCGCTTCACTGGCAGAATGTTATGTTTGGTGAATCATAGTTGACTGTACCGGCAAGCAGCTAGCAGCAGCTAGAGATAGAATTTGAAGGATTTCACAAATACAGTCATTTTCCGATTTTTACAGCCAGAATTAGCTCACATTTTAACTCATTATTCAACAAATATCCAGAGGTCCTCATTTGTAATTGGTGTTAAAACATGTGGTCTTGCAGTGCTCTGAAGTTGCTTTACAGGCAGAAGTTGGACAGGGGATGGAAATTGGAGAGGGGGCAGATCAACATTACTTTGCAGTATACGTAGGCACACAGCTACACTGATTGACCATAGTGCATAACATGTAAGAACGGCCTAGGCAACGATGATAGTCACCCTGTTCTTGAGCATGCACCCGGCCGCTCTGTATGGCTTGGATTTTTAGAATAGAAAGACGATAGAATTGAAATGGGAATGAGACATCACCTATCTCTTAAAAGTGCATGCTCGGGCTATTGTGAACGCATGTATATGTGCACATGCAAGGAGTGACTAACAGTGGCTATTGGCAAAGTGTGCAAGCAAGGCCTAGCAGTGCCCACCAACCTGGAATGTATGCAGGGTTGAGAGACCACCGGAATCCGTGGACTCCACGACCAGTGGCCACACTCCATTCTTCTCGTAGTTCAATGGGCGCGTGGTCATCAGCTCGTCACCAACAATGGTGAAGGGAAGACCCGGCACTGGATGCACTATGGTGTACGTGAATGTCTGAAACAAGAAACAACCACACAGTGAAGGAAATACTGCCATAAGGGTCGGGCAGGAAAAATCATGCCGAAATGCAACAGGGCATGTACTTTGTGTCAGGTTAATCACAAGATTATTGATTAATCTGTTGTAAAATGTACCCATTAACACAGTCCTTATTACTCAGCCAGAAACATTTGATTGCATAACAGATTGCCATAAACGGTATATTCTCGGGTCAGAGCCACATCGTATTTCACGGAAACTTGGCCAGAACAGCCCCTGCCACTTAAGCTCGGAACTCATTCTTGTACAAACATATGCCATGCTTGAAGCATGCATCATGAGTTACTCACCTGCGTGATTGTAAACTCATTGTCAGGATCTTCTGTACTGAATGTTCCAACAGAAGAGTTTGCTGGTTCGTTTTCATCGATGTAGTCTGAAAGTGATAGCATAGAAATATGCATAAACACAGGCTTTCAGCGATGCAAAAAAACTTTCAAAACACTCTGAATATGACTTCAGGCAGCTGATTGATTGGATGCACAGGTGGGAGCGACATAAGCAGACATAGCATGAAATCACCGTATTTCTTGAGTGATGTTACCACGCACCGTACCCCCCCCCCCCCCTCCCCAGCCCCAGCCTCACCCCCCCCCCCTCCCCAGCCCCAGCCTCACCCCCCCTTTCATTTCAAAACTTGGATGTTTCCAAGCTAGTGACATTGATCTAGGTACCAAAAGTGTGCACAACACACAGGACACAGGTCACTCCCATTACAGGTACCAAATTAAATTTCTGATTTAATTAATTTGGTGTACACATCGTGTACTTGTACTTGGCCGGAAAGGCACTGGACAGGCAATCTCAAACTCACTGTTTGTAAGGTTGATCATCGTTGGAGGCTCGTTACCATTGATCACATCCACCGTAAATGTCCAGGACTTAGACAGCGGTGGCTGACCATCATCCGTGCATTGCACTGTGATTGAGAATGAGGAGTTTAGCTCATAGTCAATGCTGGCCTGGGCAACCTGCAGCGCCGGTATAGTAACACATACACACACAACCAATGATGGAACACCCACATACTATACATGTGCAAGTACGACCTTATGACACAACCAATGATGGAACACCCACATACTATACATGTGCAAGTACGACCTTATGACACAACCAATGATGGAGCATACACGGAAAAATCTTTGCTATGTTGCCTAAGCAATAGGATACCACCAACGTTATGGGATCGGGCTGCTGGGACCTTTACACTGAAGTGTTTCACTTAAGTAGCAGTGCAGGCTGAATGTTCAGGGCACGGGCATCCAGACCATTTCAGACATTTCACCGAGACATGCACAATGTGTCATAAACGCGCTGACGCGACACGCTGGCAATCTTACCTTGAGAATGTTGGCGGTGACGACGAAGATTCCATCGGCATTTTCGGTTGCCACGCAGGTGGCGTTCTGCCAGTCGCCCTTCGGCCCCAAGTTGTCCGGGTCGACGGTGATAAGCTCACCGACGACTGTGCTCACGGGACTATTCTCGTCCACCTAATAGAATGGAAATAAGATAAAGAATACAACGAGCAGTTCCAGCCATGGGCAGACTGTTATTGTGCAGTAGAGGTGCACTGCCATTATTATGATCCCGCTGCTTTTTTATCATTCGATTTACGATGTCCCAGATATTAAATTTTATATAAAGTCATAGTGAACAGTTTCCTCGGAAACTCGGAAAGTCATTTAATTCTTTGGGTACTGTTCGACCCTCCACTGTGGGCACTGCATCGTGTTTTGTCTATGTCATCGACACAAGACGACCTACACTAATACACATATTGCACATCATGCCACCACTGCTTCAAGCACGTACCGTGTTTCCAGTGATGTTGATACTGCTTATGACCTCATTTACATCCACAACATCAATAGCAAACGATTCCTCGATATTCAATGCTGGTACTCCATCATCTGTGGACAAGATGGAAATATTCTGCAACCCAGACAAACACAAACAAACAAAAACACACACACATACACACATGCAGGAATAAAATCCCTCAGACATTCAAAAAGAAGGTAAAGAACTGAGTTACATGTTCATACCATGCAAGAGAAGCATTGTGCATAGGTCAGATCGATTCTCTCAACGTGGGAAATTCAAAGGATGTCATCATGGATTACTGTGTCCTGTGTATGATTAGATCAGAATGAGCAGTCATTTTGCCCCGCTGGAAATGGAAGAGCATCTCCCTCAAAGTCAAAGCCCAAGCGGAGTTTTGACAAACAACAGTGAAAAAAATGGTGTACAACACTTTCCCTTTCATAATACTAGGTTTCCATAGTGATAATGGTGGTGATATTTTGCCTAAGAGATGTTGCATTGTCTCGTTATGGAGCCTCGTAATACGGAGACAGGTTGCAGAAGCCCTCAAAATTCCTATGCTTTCTTCCATTCAGCTTACCCATTGTTGTTGCTCTTCATAGTTGAGTGTTGCCAAATCTGATGTGTATAGGCTGTTGTTGACGATGGCAAACTGATTGCCCGGGTTAGAGGTGAGGCTGTATGTGTGAGTGTGTGTCTGGTCCTGGTCCTGTGTTACAAAGTCTGTGATGTACACCATCTGTGAGTTCTCATCAATAGTCCTCGAGAGGATTTCAATGTCCTAAAAAACACACACGCACGCACGCACACACACACACACACACACACACACACACACACACACACACACACACACACACACATACACACAGAGTGACACACACACACACACACACACAGTGACACACACACACACACGCGCATACACACATACACACACACACACACACACACACATACACACACACACACACGCACACAAAAACACACACACACACACACACATACACACACACATTACAGGATAATAGATATGGTCGACTTGAAGTATGAGATTATAATAGTGTTGTATTAAAACATGCTGTGGCATATGCAGTAGGGGTGAAACGATTAGTTTGAATATTCGAATAATCGTTTTATACAGTTACAATAATGGGAGGTATGACATATGAACCTTTTGACAGCTGGAATGTCTCAATGGATGCTGTAGAACTACAAGAAGTAGACAACAACGTCCGCGTGACTTACGTGGGGTAAATCGTTGACATCGACGATCTTGATAGTGAACTTCTGCACGCTGAAGCGGTTATCCTGGTCAGTGACTCGCACAATAATATCATGCGTCTTCACTGATTCGAAGTTCAATGCACCAGATACAAGCAGCTGTGTCTGGCACAAAGAATGATGACCCTGGAGCATAGACAGAATCCACAGCATTGAAAATAGGTATAAACGCTGGTATGCTGATGATGCCAATCCTGCAGCATAATTATGTATAGAACTCTACCTGCACTTCCTCATTCCCCGAATACGTGGATAAGAGCCGAACACCAAAGGCTGATGTCAGGCCCTCGCATTACTTCTTGGACTGAGTCTATAAAATGTTTTGTGATTTCTACCACTCAGCCTATGGTCAAATTCACGTACAGAATCTGTATCACTTATCCCAGAGACTGACTCGGAGTGAGCAAAGAACATTCAATGCACACTACCATCCAAACCAGGATGAAGCAGAATAGCTGTTTCTGACGTCGCCCAACTTACAGTCAAGTCAGTGAGTCTCCCGCATGAGTTATTTGTACCCAATGAAAACAGACCGCTTGCGTCATCATCCAGCGTGAAGGTCAGTGTCTGCTGGTAATCAGGATCTATGCTGATGATTGTGCCCACAACCGTACCGAGTACACTGTTCTCCTCCACTTCCGGAAGGTCCTACATGGCAATCATGACAGAAAGATAGGTGGATAGAGAGGGAGAGAGAGAGAGAGAAGAGAGAGAGAGAGAGAGAGAGAGAGAGAGAGAGAGAGAGAGAGAGAGAGAGAGAGAGAGAGAGAGAGAGCGAGAGAGAGAAAGAGAGAAGAGCAGTTTGATTGGAAATGTAGTGTGAGCCTATCTACACTTGGCATCCAATCATCTAAGAAATGCATGAAATCTTGAAGCAGGGACATCTTTTCAAGAGTCTGATTGCGTTCAACGAGCTGTATGTGGATTTTTGAAAACACTCAGCAATACAAGCATATGCATTGATTGGTTACTTGCTGACCTACAGTTTGAAGTTCATTTCTGTAAGATATGCATAGGCCACATAAGATATGCATAGGCCAGATAAGATATGAATAGGCCAGATAAGATATGAATAGGCCACATAAGATATGCATAGGCCACATATGATATGAATAGGCCACATAAGATATGAATAGGCCAGATAAGATATGAATAGGCCACATAAGATATGCATAGGCCAGATAAGATATGAATAGGCCACATAAGATATGAATAGGCCACATAAGATATGCATAGGCCACATAAGATATAAATAGGCCACATAAGATATGAATAGGCCAGATAAGATATGCAAGGCACATAAGATATGAATAGGCCACATAAGATGTGCATAGGCCACATAAGATATGCATAGGCCACATAAGATATGAATAGGCCACATAAGATACGAATAGGCCACATATAAGATATGCACAGGCCACATTCCAATGGTACACAACTAGTGGAAGACGACGTGAAAAAACTCCAGCAGACTCAAAACGTTAATCCATTTGACCGACTTAAAAATACGGTCTTCAGTGCATAGTAGGTATCGCATCACTAAGACTGAAAAAGAGTTGCACATTATGGTAAGTGCCACCAGGCTTTGCATGTACCAAACAAAATAGCACACATGGCATAATCCAAATACATTGTACAACACATTATTACCTTGGCGAAGGCCAGCTGTCCGTCAGTAGCGGTGATACTGGTGTTGACCGGTGCTTCATTTTCATTTAGAACCTCGATGGTGAAGGTTTTACTGATCTGCAGTCATATCAAACAATATTTTAAAGTAAAAAGAGGTCAAAGTTACTGCCAATATCTACATGGATTTACATCCAGGCCACAGAAAACATTCCGACTCAGCAGCACCAGGAGCAGCACACACACACACACACACGCACGCACGCACGCACGCACGCACACACACACACACACACAAACACCTCACAGACCTCACACATGCCCATCGCGGAAGCGATGATAGCGAACAAGCTATGTTAGACATAACAACTTGTGCTGGGATTACACCATTTAACAGCTTGCAAGGCTGATGAATTGACCACTACTAATTTTTAGCCTGGTATCCACCACACAGCTGGTTGAAGTGGCTTTTCCTGGCCAGTGAATCCCTATTTTTCATTTATTTTTTCATTTTTTACACACACACGCCACACCACATACTCCGGCGTACACTGGCTGTTGGTAACCACCCAGGAGAATGAAAGAAGAGCTAGGAGAATGAGAAAGAGAAGAAAGACGTGTGCGACCATAATCGTCGGGAATTGAATCCACAACCTCTCGATTGGAAATCGACTGCACATACCACTGCACCATATAGGACACACACACACACACACACTCACACACACACACACACACACACACACACACACACACACACGCACACACACACATACATACATACATTCCTACTTGTTGCTCACTGCCAAACCTAGTCACGTGGGTCTCCCCCCAGGAGAGGTGAGAGAGATTCAAAAGGAATCTTGGTATGATGAATCAATGGCAATTGAACCGCCCAACGGCCGACACCCCCTGAATTTCCCACACTCTGGGTGGAGTTCGAAATGATCCCACTCATGGGTTCACCACACATCAGTAAGTGGGTGAGGACAAGGTGCAAAAAAAAATAGGATTGAAGGAATCAGGGTATCCGGCCCGGGATCCAACTGCATTTACCCCTGCTCCCAGTGAAGGCAATACTTGCTACTAGTGTGGGTGGCTAAATCAGAGTGGATCTAATAATTATGAGCCTCACTAGCACCCTTGATCATACAAGAGTTAATCTAGCCAGAAGTAGTCCATGGTTAACAGATATGTATACTTCAAATAGACAGTATATGAACCCTGGAACCTACGAATGTGGCAGGTAGAAAATTACACCTTCCAGTAGCCAAGCTCGTTGGCAACAAACCCAACGCTATCTGGCATATGTGCACCCACCAACCGAACTAGCTGACACACACACACACACACACACACACACACACACACACACACACACACACACACACACACACACACACACACACACAAAGACACACAAAGACACACAAAGACACACAAAGACACACAATCACACATATATACTTACATCCACACATTTAGCAAAAAGCAAAAAGCACATTGCAGGAGGTTCTTACGCTTAAGGGTGGTGTGCCGTCATCTGTCACACGCAATGTTATTCTGTGCTGTGTGGTGATTTCATAGTTTGCAGGCTTGGCCTTCTGGAGCTCCTTTCCGACAAGCTTGAACCTGGGAACAGAAGACCAAATCCCAAGATTATGTGTAAGACACAAGTTTCGTATGTGCCAACTCTCGTGTCCGGGTCAAAGTTTGCCACTACGATACTTTCCGGAATACAAGCCGCACTTGAAACACATGCAATTCACGCAAAACATCAGTGCGTCTCATACTACGCTGGTCAAATGCACCGCAAAATATTGGGTAGATGTCTGTATTTTGTGACAAAATATCTGGGTGCGGCTTATACTCCAGTGCGATTTATACTCCGGATTATTCCATAACATGTCTAGGTGCGATTTCGTCACCACATAGCAAGGCTAGATCAATTTCATTCCATACGACAGTCTTGCAAAAATTGCTCTTATCTTTCTGGATGGACAGTAGAGCGATTTCCGCCTACTTACATTCCATGGTCATCGCTCGTCAGCTCATACGTGAGATGCTGGAAGGCGTCCTCATCAGACGCACCAAACGTTCCCACGACAGTGCCATTAAGGGAATTCTCAGCCACCTTGTAGTCGGTGATGTACAATTTCCGCGGCCTGTCGTTGATGTCCTTCAGTGTGATGTTGACGACAAAGTTGGCCGAGAGTGGTGGCGTTCCCGAGTCAGTTGAGCGCACTAGCACGCTGTATTGGGACTGCGCCTCGTAGTTCAACCAGCATGATGTGCCACCCAGGGCTAGGCATGCTACATTGGATGGATTGACCTTCAAGCAACGCAAGGCAAAACACACAACGTTCACAGAAGCACAGCAATGAACATCCATCACTGTCCACGCAGGCAGTTCACGCATGTGCACTTGAACATTTCCATTAAATCTTCCACGGATGATATCCGAGTCAACGTGACTGGCAATTTCCATAATGATATATTTTAGTCCGCCGTTCCTCTCAAGGGTCAACACGTCAGGTATATAGTCCCTAAAGCTCACGTGGATGCGTGTGTGTGTGGGGGGGGGGGGATATCAAGCTCACGAATGTGGACAAAGGCTAAAATCCTATTTGCAACAATTATGCAGCCCTTGTGCCTGGTACCAATGTCCAAATGAACAGGTGTTGGGTGTTGGGCGGATGCTTTTCACTGGATGTTTCCAGTATACATGTAATTCCAATGAGAAACCCCATGAACTCCTAAACCAGGCTGGCCGTGACATCTCCGGACGCAGAACCACTGTACAGGGGCGTCGGAAACGCTATAGCCACTATAGCCACTATAGCCACTACGGTATGAACTGCACAACTTCACACTCCACGTACAATTATTTAACGAAATCCTGCAGTTATTTCAGATCAAACTTTTGAAATGTGTTTGGGCGATCCCGGCCCGAATGGTAGCTACAAAGGCTAATCATGCCAGCATAAAGTACCTACCGTCACACCTGCCTCATGAACACACATTCCCTCTAGTTCTCATTTCCAGCATAGGACATAGAGATAGAGTAATTTATGAGTGGTGTGGATGTACCTTGAGAACTCCTGAGTCGATCTTGAACCTTCCTCCGGCAGTATCTAGCAGGGCATAGTTGAACGTCTGCAATGGCGTTGTTCCAACATTGTCCGGGTCCTGTGTGGATAGACTGCCTATGGCAGTATCACTGGCGCTGTTCTCGTCCACCTGGTCGCTGGTAATGTGCATCGACGTTGGCTTTTCGTTGACGTTGATGACGCGGATCACGATGTCTTTCTCGTAGCTGAGCGCTGGCGTGCCACTATCGGTGGTACGAACTCTGATTGTCAGTGTTTTCGTGACCTCGTAGTTCAATGATCCAACCGTATACAGGTCATCTCCAGTGATCTGAAAAGCACAGCAGAACGAGTGACATTCGACGAATATTAGCAGCTCCTAACCTGCTGAGGTGTTCTAATGTAACAACCTTCACAAGCTAGAGCTGAGTTGCTGATTGGTTGTTCATGGACTAACACATGCACACATGCACACACTCACACATGCACGCATACACACACTCACACATGCACGCACACACCAACACACGCACGCATACATACACACACACACGCACACTGACACACACACACGCACGTACACACACACAAACACACACACGCATGCATGCACGAAAGCGCAAAAACACACACACAAACACGGACACACACACCACAGGTCCCCTCCCACTTACAATGAATCGTCCATTGGCACTGTTGAGCAGCGTGTACTTATGGGTCTGCGTTATATCATCATCCGTGGTTAGGAATGCACCCACAAATGCGTCAACCTTATTTTCATGTACTTCATCACTGGTCATGTTGATATCCTGGAATGATAGCATAATTATAGCACACAAATCAGAAATCATTGCTTAGCCAAGGCCACAAAAGAATAGGGCTGCTACAGCCATCATCAGCATTATTTTCTTTTTTAGTCCACCACTTCTCACCCATTATGTCAATACGCATAGCGGGGATAACGGGCAGAGTAGCTGGCATCAGTCAAAGGCTGAGTAGGAATAGGTAGGGTGGCGGCCGACCCGAAGAGCACAGCGACTGTGGATGGTCAGTGTACATGTGAGGTAAAGATAGGCAGCCGGCCTGCTACGGGCAGGGACCAGCTTGTTGGGCTACAAGTACATTTATACAACAGGGCAGCTATAGAGCTACTGTAGTGTAGTGTAGATGAGCAATGGCTGCCAGCTACATGACTGTATGTAGGGATAGAGGCCCTCCCACAATTTATTTTCGGATTACGAGTGATAGAGATACGTAAGGAGGGGGAGGGTGGGAAAAACAAGCAGTGTCCCAGCAGTCCGGCAGGAGAGGAGTCAGCGTAGTACGCACAGTGTCTGATTCAGGAAAAGTACAGGTGCTAGGCAGGCACTTTCGCCTTTGCCTGCTGGTCATGCACCAGGTATGGAACCCTGCCGTATTTTTGGGCTCTCTGATCATGCATCGTGTACGCACGGTGTGCATGTGGGCTGCGAATGGAGGAACGCACATGAGTCTATCAATCAGCAAGGAAAACAAGACCACGCGAGTTTGACAGTCGCAAAGTTAACAATGTTTAGCTACGCCAATCTCCCAATATAATATCTATCCCTTTTACATCTTGAAAGGCAAAATAAAATAAAATAATGCCATTTCAATGACTGGTGTATAAGAAGAATCCACACCAAGCCATGCTCTGAACTTTCATACATACCCGTCCTTTATTGAAATCAAAGGATACTTACACTTGGAGGATCGTTGACGTCGATGATGACAACGGTGAATTTGGTCACCTTGAACTTGCCCTGCGGGTCAGTGACCCGTACTACAATGCTGAGCGAGGCTGATTCTTCGTGATCCAGCGAGTCAAACACCGTAAGAGCTGCACTGCACTTGCTACCAGTAGTCTGCAAGCAACACACATGAATCACCAGAAATATGGAAGGTATGGTAAAGGTGATGTATTCAAGACATTCTACTGTATCTACCGCACTGAACTGCAGTGCACATCATGTGCTTGTATAGCACGTTTTCGCCAACAACTAAAGGGCAAATGCGAAGGTAATATTTACCACATTAAAGTATAAATCAGAAAACAGTGCATACAGGTATGTTATGACACCAGATTGACAATGAATATGGACTTGAGCGTCAATTAGCAACAGGTGATTCTGACCTAGACAGGATATGTGATGTTACGCATCCTTTTTCATTGTGCTCGGCCAATAAAGGACTCAGTTCAACTCTCCACTGTTGGCGTCGTCGCCGTGCCAACAAAGGTCTAGGAAATGCTGCAAAAGACTTCTCCTGGCACTTACAAAGAAAATTTAAGCTCATTTATAGGATACGGGTGCACGCTAATGAGTCCCATAAAACGTCCACCTGCCTGGCCTATTCTCAAGCGGGATACACTTACAAAGTCACAAGTAGCAGTAGAGGCAATGGCAAAGCGACTTCCTGCACTATCATCCAGTGTGAACTTCAGCTGCTGATTATTGTCCTATACCAGGGCACAGAAAGCATATCAGGAATCCACTGAAACCAGCAGCTTCACACACAACTTTATCCCCAGACAACAGCAGATATCTTCTCATACACGATTTCTCACATATTGTACTTCGAGGTACCATGACATAAGCAGGCGCGTGTGCCGGTGCCCTTTAAGGGGGGTTCCTGGGGCCTCCCCCGGGAAAAATTGCAAAAAATAAAGCAAAGTCCTGCATTTTGAGCGATTTTGAGCGAAAAAAGGGGGGTTCCGGGCACCCAGGAACCCATACGGGGCACGCGCCTGATAAGAATACATGAAATGAGCCGCGCTGAATAATTGGCACCTTCAGTGCAAGGCTCTCTGCACCTGGCTCAACCTCAGAATTTCAGAAGTTGCACTTGAAGCGGAGAAAAACGTCAGATTCAAGACATGCTTTCACAATCAGTCCTATCCTAGACCTCTTTAAAAGGAGGAAATGAGAAGAACTCAGGTCCCTGTGTGTGGACCAATGTTCCCCCTCAATTATACACATCCCAAGTGGAACAAAGTGATCAGTACCCAGCAATTGACAGTATTCCACATACGCACTTCACTCTTTCCACTTACCGTGTCAGTTGCAACAATGGTACCAACGGTCGCTCCCACGTTGGAGTTCTCATTAACCTTAGCATGATCATCGGCGTATGTCAGCTGACCATTCTTGGAGGTGAAGATGGAACTAATCGGCGCTTCATTGATATCAGTAACACTAATTTGAATATCCTTGATGATCTACAAGCACACACACACACACATGATACAATATCCACCATTTCACATACATGTACCAGATCACCACACATACTTCCCCATCTCATATACGAGTAGAGTAATGGCTGTCAAGGCAACCAAGTATATAATGGGGGGGGGGGCACTGCACCAAGACCAAGTGTTGACATACCCAGTCACAAACCCTGTCCAGGACGTGAGGTGGAACACATCTGCGTGTGTGGGCATCTGCAGTGGGTCACTTGAGTACCCGCTTACATAGGTCCTTGGAACCCTATCACAATCCACAGACCAGCTGATGTGCTGATTAACATCTATTTTTAGCATCCCTCAGCGAATGTAGCAGTCTGAATGTAGCAGGCTGTATCATCTCCTTTGCTACAAGAAAAGAACACTCACGATTGCATACTCCTCTATACCCCACTTTTAAAGGTATACCCATACTTTGCTGCACATGTATGCCCATACTTACCGACATCGGAGGGCTTCCATTGTCTGTGACCTTGATGGTCACGCTGTGGACCGCCTTGGTTTCGTAATCCGTCGACTTTGCCTTGAGGATTTCTGTCCCATCGGCGCTGAGCTTGAACTGTCCACCGTCAGTGTCTGTCATGGTTATGGTGTGCGTCTGGCCAATATCTTCATCTATGTATGCAATCTTGCCGACCACTGTGTCCGCAGGGTCATTTTCTTTCACCTACGGTTGGGAATTCAAGATTGGACCAAGTGCACACACAGTAATGTGCAGTGGTCGAAACACTGACAATGAAACGCAAAGCCTTTCACAGTAGAAATGCTGTACTTCTCATCAGATAACTGTCATGTTCACCTAGCTCATTGCTCCTTATCTTTACCCATCACCGACAACGAAGGTTCATACGGACTATACCTACACAAAGCTGTTCACTGCGCCATGTTACGTTCACCTCTGCATGTCCGACTTGCACTCTAAAATAGCACAAGGAATTCCGGAACAGGCAACTGACTTCTTCTTGAAACTCGAACGAACAAAGCTCACAGGCAGGATCACCCTGACTCGTGGCAAAGCAGTTTCTATGACGTCACTTATACATACACATCAGCAACTAGCAAGCTGGGAAATACCCTAACCCCCAAACTAATGCTGTCATAAGGAAAAGCACGCACACACACACACACACACACACACACACACACACACACACACACACACACACACACACACACACACACATACACAAACACACACACACACACACACACACACACAGACAGTGAGTTAGTAACCACACCACAAACTGGCAATATCATACACGTATAGGCAACATTAAACAGTCGTGTACTCACAATCGTGTTGCTGACGGTTAGATGCCTTGGCTGATCATTGATGTTCTCGACGTTGATAGTCAGCTTGAAACTCTTACTTAGAGGTGGTGAGCCACTGTCTGTGACTTGCACCACAATATCATGGGTTTGGTCCTTTTCAAAGTTCAGCTTGCAATAGAGACCGCCAATCGAGAGGCAGTTGACGTTAGAGGTAGCCACCTAAACAAGCAGCAGCAGTCAATCAGGATGCAGTGGATGAACAGCATTAGGTATGCCGTACTGTCTTCTGTGACATAAATCATGTATAATGATGTCATTCAAATCACGCATAATGTACCACGTCAATCAAATCACCTAACATGTACTTAGGATGGTGCCATTGACATCACCTGACATGTACGCCATGATGTCATTCAAATCACCAAACATGCACGATGATGTCATTCAAATCATGAACCACTCATATACCATGAAACTTACCTGAAGCTTTCCTGATGAAAGCTTGAATCGCCCTTGAGCTGTGTCCACCAAAGCATACGTGAATGTTTGCCGTGCAGATGCGTAATTGTCAGGATCGAGGGTGGAGAACGAGCCAATGATTTCATCCAGCGGTGAATTTTCGTTCACCTAAACCAAGCAAAGAACAGTGAACGTGGCAGGACATACAGTGCAGTACCTCGATGGCTACGTGAGATTGCCATTCAGTGTAAGGTTGTGCGGGAGAAGGTTATAAGACCTAGAAATGGTTGGTGGCATGAGAATCCATCGTGATAATGTTGCCCTGAAGTACATGTGCTGAAGCCCATCAAGTTAACTAAAGGCGCTTGCCTTTTTGCCTTGTTCAGACACACAAACATTACGGGATCCGGTGGGTGGTGACTGTAGAATAGGTACTGTATCACACGTAATTAGTACACACATAAAATCACTGAGAGTGTACAGTAGGTGTACATGGTAAGCTGTGCGCATACTCAGACTGCCTTCGTCTTCTTCCTCTCCTTGTCAATGGACAACTTACAAACCGTAACTGTGTACCTTTGAGAGCAAAGAGTGTTACAATATCCCAGCACTAAAAGAAGAAGCAACCCGCATAGAATTCCGACAGGCAACAGCACCCCATACATGATACTTGAGCATAGTGATTCCAGACAGACCGCTCTGCTATGATGGCTGTATCCTGGTTCACGGAGTGTAGAACAAACGGATTTTATTTTTATTTTTATTTTTATTCAACTCAATCTCGTAGCATGTGCACGCAACACTAATATGGAGAGCAGCACCGGAGATGAGGGCGATACCCAGCCATGGGAAAAGTATTTTTTAAATACCTTGCTGCCGGTGAGTGACACTGAAGTTGGCACTTCGTTGACATCCTCAACAGTGATTGTGAAGGTCTTCTCATAGAACTGAGCTGGTATGCCATTATCTGTAAGCAACACAGGAATGCACGAATGGAAAGAAGTTACTAAACAAGCAAACATCAATAACACGAGGCAACTTCACTTTCCATACTTCGTACATATTGTGGGCAGCGGCGGATCCAGCGATCTCTACAGGGGGGTTCCAGTATAGTCAAAACTGAATAGCTGATACATATACATGGACATGGACATATACATGGACATGCCTATAGTTTCCAGTAGTACATTTACGAAATTTAGAGGGTTCCGCGGAACCCCTGGAACCCCTCCTGGATCCGCCCCTGGTGGGTGTGCAGTAGTTGGACAAGTGGAGTCTCGTGTGGCTGTCTCCATGGGACGTTTCCGTTGTTATTGTTCTTCTTGACAAGTTTCCAGACCACAATCCCGACCTAGGCTGGCCATATTCCAGGATACCAATCGTTAACATGCACACAATCATGTAAGATCAGGAATGCCCCTGTTTACCTGTAGCTCGGACTACGATGGAATAAGATGATTTAGCTTCGTAGTTCAAGTTCGCCGTGGCAGTGGTCATCAGACGAGACCCGACCATCTTGAACTTATTATCCGGGTCCAAGGTGATCGTGTAGGTGTGCGTGTTCGCCGTGTCCTCGTCCTTGGTCAGGAACGACGTGATGACAAAGTTGTTGAGATTCTCCTTGACATGTGGTGCACCACCGACACTAATTATGTCCTGGAAGAGAGGACATGGCATACAGTAGAACTCTGATTAAACGCACCCCCATAGGCAGCAATAAGTGTACTGAAGTAATTACTATCCAAGGTGTACTTACTATCCAAGGTGTACTTAGTATCCAAAGTGTACTTACTATCCAAAGTACTACTTATCCCAACGCACTTCAGTTTGGATCGATATGCCAGTGTCTGTACTAAGCAGGAGGATGGCGAATCAGAGTGCATACTAATTGAGTTCCACTGTACACACCATGACTTGAAAACATGTGAAAATCTGCTATACTAGAGTCAAGTGTACATGTACAGATTTAGAAAATCAGCATTCTACAATGCATTTCAAAACTATAGACGCGTAGGGTTTTTGAAATATTTCAAATTTGGCTGGAACGTTTTGAGAATAGTTTTCGGTATATTGCTCAGAATCGCTCCACAATTACTCTCATATAGTTTCTAAAGGATTAGATAACAGACGCCCAATTTGGAAAAATTTATGCACAAAGTGATCACAGATTTTATGTGGTATAGATGCTGGCATAACGGTTTTTGCCTAGGTACGCGTCTATAGTTTTGAAATGGACTGTAGATAGGGCAGACATGGCATTGATCAAGGTCATATCTGATTGCGAATCAAACCACAAGTATACAGAACAATAATGTGGAAAGACAGCCTGGTCTACTCGAACCGGAATGCTGTGACTTGGTACAGCAGCCTTCATTACGTACGTGCGGAATGTCGTTCACATCCTGAATCGTGACGGAGAATTTGTGAACTTTGAACAGGCCGTGGCCGTCGGTTGCCCTGACTATGATCGTGTGCAGAGCGTCGAGTTCATGATTGAGAATGCCAGCTACAAGAACTCTGATGGAGCACACGGTTTCTGCAGCCTGCACAGGACACAAATAACCCAACACAAGAACACACACACACACAGAGGTCATACAAAGCAAGGTTGCCACGGTCACGCTTGGAGACAAAACAGGAATTCACTCTAGACATACAAAGTGTAGACCAACACCATACTAGTGACTGTGTCTTATAGCAGAGGTATAATGGATGTACTTAGCGCTTGTCCTTCCTAGCATGATAGTAACTATGCCTCATTACACCTGGGTGAGGACATACCTACCACTACATCTACTTCTCTCCCTAGAGGCTTTTGTGCAGCTCTCTCACCTCATCATCCATCAACAAGCATCTAACCATTTGTTCTTTTTTTCCTTCTTTTTCACACCTCTCCTCACAGGCTCCTCACTTCCCCTCACGTCATCTCTTTCTCCCTTTCTCTTCTCTTTCTCTCTCCCTGTCCTTGTCTCTATTTAACTCCTCTCTTTCTCTCTGTCTCTCTCCCACCCTCTCTCCCCCCCCCCCCCTCTCCCACCCTTTCTCCATCTCTCTGTCTCTCTCTTCCTCTCTCATATTATTCACTCACGCAAGGGATGATGGACAGCTTCAGCCTAACTGCTGCAATACCAATATAAGTAGATGATGTGCTGCGCTGACGAGTCCACAAAGGACGAAACAGTTCTGTCCGCAGATTGAGTATTTCGCTCCTGCTCTTGTAGCAGTTGAGCACTCTTGCGTGGGGTAGTGCCTTTGCTGTTTGCGTTATGCAGAGCTCACTGACTTGTCAGTTTGAGCACTCTGGCAAGGTACGTTCGGGCCTGATTGGAAATTTTTATTTCCATTGCTATCAGGTTCGGCCTCATTTCCTCTGTGCTGCGCTGACGAGTCCACAAAGGACGAAACAGTTCTGTCCGCAGATTGAGTATTTCGCTCCTGCTCTTGTAGCAGTTGAGCACTCTTGCGTGGGGTAGTGCCTTTGCTGTTTGCGTTATGCAGAGCTCACTGACTTGTCAGTTTGAGCACTCTGGCAAGGTACGTTCGGGCCTGATTGGAAATTTTTATTTCCATTGCTATCAGGTTCGGCCTCATTTCCTCTGTGCTGCGCTGACGAGTCCACAAAGGACGAAACAGTTCTGTCCGCAGATTGAGTATAAGTAGATGTATATAAAGTACACAAAGGCCGGTACTCACGGGATCCGATGCCGATGCAGCCTTGCAGACCACGTTGCTGGCGCTGTCCAAAGCAAAGCGACCGCCTGCATTATCGTCCAAGCTGAATGTGAGCTTAGCATTGAGATCCGGGTCGGAAGCGACAATCGTCCCCACAACCGTGTTCTTAACTGCGTTTTCCTTGATCGTTGGGCTGTTGGTTGCGAAGCTAGTCTGAGCACCTGTTTGGAGAGTACAAGCAACACATGCATGTACGCTTTTGTTAGCCTCTCTGCCGTGCATTCATCAACTATTACACACAAACCATCTTTGGAAAGGAATAACCTGCCTTATACAGAATAGTCTGAGTTGCAAAATGTCCATATACGAGTATTGAAGAATTGCATATGTAATTTACTTTCACGGATGGAAACTGAGTGTCAAAATTTTGTTATGTCTATCTACTTGTAAGTATCGAGGAAGGTGTGTACCGTGCATGTAGGTCAAGCTGCAATTGAAACCGACACAGAATACATAGCAGTACAATAGAAGTGGGTTTAAAAGTATAGCCACTGCTGGGCCATACTAACCAGTGGAAGTAAACTGAATTGACACTGGGGCTTCTTTGGCATCAAGTACAGTTATAGTGAAGTCCTTCTGGACCTGTATAGCAGCAGAACACAAGAACAACAAACATACAAAGCACGCACACACACACCCACACATACATACACACACACACACACTTGTACTTGCTCATGGCCAAAATTGGTCACGTGGGTCTCCCTGGGAGAGGGGAGAGAGGCTCAAAAGGAGTATTAGAAAGATGACTCAATAGGCTATTGAACCGCCCAACGGCCGACACCCCCCCCCCCCCCCCCCCTGAAATCCCCAAACTATGGGTGGAATTGGAAATGGTCCCACTTATGGGCTCACCACACCGCAGTAAGTGGGTGAGGACACGGTGCAGAAAAAGGATTGACGTCCCGGGATCCAACTGCAGTTACCCCTGCCCTCAGTGAAGGTAATACTTGCTACTAGTGTGGGTGGCAAATCAGAGTGGATCTGATATAAGCTTCACTAGAACCGTGGATTGCACAGGAGTTAATATAGCCAGAAGCAGCAGTCCATGGTTAACAGGTATATATATATATATATATATTAGCCTATTTAGCTCGTAGCTGTACTGATGAGGCCTTTATGGCCGAAACAGCTTGCTGTCTACAGCATTGGGTATATATATATATATGTATATTTCACGGTTCGCGTGAGACTCGGCTGGAAGCCGGGTTTTCCGCATCCGTAGGAACGCCACCATTCTTCAAGGATCAAGGCGCAGATGCAGCTCCTAAAGCGGTGGGAGGTGAGTAGATCAGCTCACCAGCATGTGGTCAAAGACCGAAAATCCCATTCACTGCATCCATGTTAACAGGTATGTATACTTCAAATATAAAGTAAACACACACACGCACACAACATCAGCTACAGGTCCTCACAACTCATGTGGACAGCCCCACAGTGTCAAGAAACCTCACAATTCAGGTTTCACTGCTGGAATCCGAATGAGCAATCAGCCTCACACTCTCACTTCTCATAGTATACTTGCAGTGCACGGATGCTTGGCGATGCGCCAACATGTTTTAAATGTTCAATTGACTAAAACTTACGTATAGCGCAGGTGATCCATTGTCAGTTGCCTTGACAGTAATGTGATGGCTTGTCTTTGTTTCAAAGTTAGCCACCTTGGCCGCAACAATGAACTTGTTCTGCAATACTTTGAAACTTCCACCATCGTCATCAACAATTGAATACGTTACTGTTTGACCAATGTCTTCGTCAGAGGAAGAAAGAGTGCCTGCACAGTGGGATAGAGAGAGAGAGAACTACTGAGTAAGAGAGAGAGAGAGTAAAACAGTTCCAAACCGAATGGGGGGGGGGGGGGAAGAACTCGGGTATGTTGAAAATTGAGATTTTTACACCAACGCGGTCATCGCTTTTCACCTATCAGAAAGTACAATGCAAGCCTATAGATGGCTACAGTGGAGGCTGCGCATATCTAAAAATGCAAGCCTATGTTGAAAAAATGATACGCAGTATCATACCGATAGTGGAACCAAGAAAAGGAGCTTTCACAAATTAATGAAGCCAGGGACAAATCTATCAGTTGTGGAGTCATCTCTGCTAGCTGGTGTTCTGAGCAGGAGATCTCTGCACTCACAACTGCAGGATACCACTGAGATAGTGACAACACTGACAACCAGGGTGTACAGAGAAACCGTCAATGCATGCATTGTTATAGACATGTACTGTGGCTGTTCTATTTTGCAGATTACTGTTGTAAGCCTCTCTCAGTGATTACAGTTATGCTGGGACTGATAAAAACCGAAATCTTTACAGCATAAGTCATTTCCCTTCTCCTTTGTAACACTGAATCCTAATAACTTGAATTGCTTGAATAGCATGCTAGTGAAAAAGGCTGCAGGAAACAATCGGCTGGCCTGCACTCGTAGCTTTGCTTTTCTTACCGACTCTGGTGTCAATGGCACTGCCTTCCTTGATAGTGTACCCGGCTAGCTGCAGGTTTCTGGGCTGATCGTTGATGTTGCGCGTGTCGATTGTCAGTTTGCAGTCATAGTACAGGCTTGGTGAGCCGCTGTCGGTGGTGCGTACCGTGATGGTGAATCGATTCAGCGTGGCCGATTCAAAGTTGTATAGGCACGCCGTGCCACCATCTGAAATACATCTAGTTGATGGCAGTGCAACCTGGGCAGATGGTCAGAGAGGAACTAGTCAAAAACAATATCTGCTTTTTCAACTAGCACCAACCGTTCAATGATCACAAGTAAATTTTGGGGATATGTCAACCAACGAAATTTCTCAAGTGTATCTTGGCCTCTCTTGACACCTTGAGAGGAAACAATTGCTGCCTTGAGAGCTCCATCAAAATTATACTCTGACTTGTTCGCTAATCCATGTTCCCACACCGTACTGTAATGTTAAGTGACCAAGGGAGCTGTCCTTAAAAATAACTACGGCTAGCACCCTGCGGGAGTCAAACACACACACAAGTCATCACATATTGAAGGACCATAATTATAAACACAAGTCGGGTATGCCATTACAATTAGACCTCGCTTATCCGGTCCGCTTTTATCCGGATCCCTCGCAATCCGGAAGAAAATCGTTGGTTACCGATTTACAGCATATGTCATGCATGCATTCAGTATGTGCGTTCGATTATCCGGTCCGCTCGCCTATCCGGATATTTTTGTGGAAAGCGGATACTAGCACAACCGCACCATTCTCAGATTCGAAGAAGAACTGCAGCTGAAGGTCGAACATTACTTTGCCTATGCATGTGCCAATGATGAATAAATGCATGACTAGATCATAGCAGCAGTACCAACTCCTACCTTCACAGTGCTCCCGTCCAGTTTGAATCGTCCGCCAGCCGAGTCCAGGAGTGAGTATCTAAATGTCTGAGCCGTGTCCGGGTCAGATGTTTTAATAGCGCCAACGACAGTATTCAGCATTGGATTTTCCTGGATCGTTGTAGAAGACAGCTGCGAGAAGAAAACAGAAAGCTCATTATTATCTTATAATTGTATTAATCTATTGCAACATTTTAAGGCGCAGTGAGTGTTAGCCAACTACAGGAGAGATTAGCGGTTGTGAGGGAAATAAGAAAGTTAGCATGCTCGTACTAATGAAATCACATACTTATGAAGACCTGCTTGCTATCACCGACAAGGAATGTTTGATAATTCATCAAGGTCAAAGATACATGACCATATTACACAAAAAATACTACTATTGTAAAATAGGAGAAGGAAACACATGGGCACGAGTTACGAAGCAACTATCCACGACTGTAACAAGATAATAAGCAGTCAGGACGTGTGATAACAGGGCACAAAACTGACAGCGGCTACTGAGACATTCAACGACATAAGATCTAGCTCTAACTCATCCCCAGTGGTAGTTGGCCGCAGCCAGATGTGAACCGGACAACGAGTGAGGTATAGAAGCAAGGACTGAGAACAGAGTGTCTCAGATAGAATAGGCATGCCTGTGGATAGCAGAAATACTCCATGATGCAGAACCTCTTGGGACCGTCAGATTAATTTTCCTGGACCGAGCCAGCCAGGGAAAAAACCCTCGCGCCGACGGACGCAGCCGACGGACGCGGTTGTGAGGGAAAAAACCGCAATGGCGATTTAAAATCATCATGTAGGCATGGCAAGCACATCACGGGGGCAAAACCTGATACAAAAAGCAATGATAAGATGCACAGAAATGACGGGTGGCAAGGCAAGGACACTGGTGAGACTCAAAACTGACTGAAGAAGTCAGGAAAAGAATCGACAATAAAGAACACACCAGATGCCATATTTGCAACTGAAAATGTTTCGCGAGAAATCATTACTCGCCTATCTCGCTGCGCTCGGCCAGCGAGAAATACAACTACTATTGCTTTGCACATTTCGAGCACTCTATTCACGCTGCCTCGACCGGCCCTGTCCATGACAGCATATCAAATTACAATCTTTGTCATCACCTTGTACACATCAAGCATTATCAAATCATTTCCGACTACTGTGAGTTGGGAACGATTGGGCACAAGGATAACATGGATGTGGCAAATGGGATTTCAACCCAGTTTGGCCTCTGGCTGGTGGATCTCATCCATGCTATCCCACCATTAACTAGCTGCATCATGGGGTGGTGGCGTCCCACGGAAGTGGAAGTGTGGTTCTTGACCTGCCCTGTAGGCGGATCTGTAATGCTTATTTGTTTTTAGAGAGATGTGCTGCACAGGATGAACAGGGGTCTCACCTGGCACGCAGTTGGCTTCTCATTGAGATCTTGGATGGTGATCGTGAACTTCTTAGTGTACGACATGCCCCCGGAGTCTGTACTCTTTACATCAATCACATACCTGCATGGGCATAGAGAGAGAAACTTGAACGTCTTCAACACTGCACGAGTCCGCTCTGCCTCTGGCCTGGCCAGATCATTACATTTCTAAGAGTGCTTCATGAGATAATCTTCTGTGGACAGCTAAGCAGTGCCAGAGTGGTAACATGATAACTGTCTAGCATGGTTTTTGGCAGGCTGTAGTGATTTCTATTCGCTGCTTAAAGGGGAAGTCCGGTGAAAAATTTAAATTTCACAGTCCGTAGAGTTCGGGTCGCTGAGTCGAATGGTCTTTGTCCGAGGAGGCTGCGGCTTATGGTTCGTCAGATACGCCCAATCGAACATGTGCGAATTTGAGCGCGCATCACCCAGATCCAGGTGATGACGTCACAGCGTGCAGCCAGGTAGCCACACCATCTAGTTGTGTACAAAAATGGCCATATTCGGAGCGCGTTCGATTGGGGAACCGTTTGTTGCAGCTTCTTCGGACCAAGACCATTCGATTCAGTGTTACAAACACTACGTACCCTGTGATTTTCAGCTCGGTAAACCTGGAGGTTATACCGTATTATAGCCGTTTCCGAGTTGGACTTTTCCGTCAGCCTCTACGCGCACTGCGCTGCGTGCATGCAGTGTGTTATCTAGCTGTAGACTGTGTAGTGCAGTCAACAAACTCATCACAGACGGAACTACTCCCGCATTGCCGTGCTGGGGTAGTATGTAGATCTACAAGACTCGAGTCACAACTGACACAAGACTCAGAAAACTAGTCAACACACGGACTTGTCATGTACTACACTCGTATCAGTCGTATTATACAGTCATGCAGTCAGAGAACGTGCGTTTCTCCTTGCCGGTGCCGGTGGTTGTGCTTTGACAGTTTGAGAAAGAAAATTTTAGTTTTCCGCACCCGCCTCATTATTTTTATGTTACAGCGATGAGTGCACAACCGTGACAAGTGACAAAACAGCGAACAGCTCCCGGACCTAGAACTTTCAGATTCCATAGCGTTGCGAGCGAAGAGGCGTGCCCTTGGTTCAAAGAGCCTGCACTGTTCTCCAATTGAGTAGTCCGAAATATTCCAAGTTCGCACCAAAACATCACCATGTGGCAGGCTACTGGAGTCTAAGCGAATCTAATCGGTATGGAACAACATTTAGAGCACTCGCATCATTCTTCTCCATTTTGGCGACCCTGCTCTCCAGCGATCTGATCAGCCTCGTCTGCAATAGCTGCTGCTTCTTCATCAGTCGGAAACTCAGTAGCACTCACTCTTGACCGGCCCGCGTGGCCATTTCTTCAGCTGAATACCGAGGTTCTCAGCCCCAGACCGAACTCATGAAGGTCAGCCATGGCTGCATCCTCACTCTCACAAGGAGTTACAGGTCTTCGGGGTCGCTTGCACCAAACTATCAGTCGCCAAATCATTTGAAATAGCACTGACACTATTGCTTTCACTCACTCCTTTTGACCTAGCTGCACGCTATGACGTTGCAGAGGGTGTGGCGCGGCCGCATGACGTCATGGCGCAGCCCCCGAAACTCAGTTTTTCAAACGGAAATATCTTGAGAACGCTTTGTCGGAGACACGTGGGACCAACACCATTCGACTCAGCGCCCGAAACTCTACCGACCCTGAAATTTAAATTTTTCACCGGACTTCCCCTTTAACTTCAATAGGGGGGGGGGGGGAATGGGACTGTGCTGTGTGCAGAGTGGGGGGGGGGATGGACTGTGCTGTGTGCAGAGTGGGGGGGGGGGGGATGGACTGTGCTGTGTGCAGAGTGGGGGGGGGGGGGAAATGGGACTGTGCTGTGTGCAGAGTGGGGGAAATGGGACTGTGCTGTGTGCAGAGTGGGGGGAAATGGGACTGTGCTGTGTGCAGAGTGGGGGGGGGGGGGGGGAGGGGGAATGGACTGTGCTGTGTGCAGAGTGGGGGGAAATGGGATTGTGCTGTGTGCAGAGTGGGGGGAAATGGGACTGTGCTGTGTTCAGAGTGGGGGGAAATGGGACTGTGCTGTGTGCAGAGTGGGGTAATGTGTGCTGGGAACAGAGGCAAGCACTTATAGGACCACTGTATCATCTGAAAATGAAAGCAGCAGAAGTGAACACGTTTTCCCTTCTACGAGTTCAGCTAAAATCAGTGCCAGAAGGAGAGAGTGGATGGAAAGCGAGGCCTGTTCTTTATTGAAATGGAAAAAGGGCATATAAGTTGGTGAAAATGAATTTTCGTTTGGGCCTGGTTTAAATCTGGCTTAGGAAAATTTCTTTTTCCTTGCTATCAGGTTCGGCCTCGTTTTCTCGGTGCTGTGTCGATGAGTCCACAAAGGAGAAAACAGTTCTGTCCGCAAAGTGAGTGAATTCTCATACACATATGCCAACTTAAACCTAGACTGTACTCTTTATTCACAATCTTTGGCTCATATCTATGACATACCACACCAAACACGGTTCATACAGCACGATGCCACGGCCCACACACAGCAAACACAGCGAAACACAGCAAACACAGCGAAACACAGCAAACACAGCGAAACACAGCAAACACAGCGAAACACAGCACAGCACACACACACACACACACACACACACACACACACACACACACAGCACACAGCACAAAACTCACGACTTTGCCTGGGTTTCGTAGTTTGGAACAAACGAGATATACAGAGTGCTGCTAGAGATATAGAACTTTCCGGGCGCCGAGCTGACAAGTGTGTAGGAATGTGTGTCACTGGGGTTGGGATCGTTAGTGGTGAACGATCCGACCGCGGTTCCACTTGGAGAATTCTCCTTGATATAGGTGTGTGACAGGCCAATCTACAGTCCGCAGAGAGAATAGGGTTGTTAGCTGACAAATTCTCTCCTAAGATGCTATTCTCGCATTCTGAAAAGTTGGATTAGGCACTTCAAATAATAAATCAGGCTAGGACCAGACATAAAGTTAACATAATAATTCTGTAGAACGTATTGGAGAACGGTTTGTTGGCACACAAGCCATGGGCTTCGCACCCGCACACACAGAGAGTACTCACATTTGTTGGTGCCTTGTTCAGCAGCTCACAGTGTGTTTTGCTATGGTCTGTCCAGACTAGACTGGCCTGGCAGATGACAGCCGATGAACCACCATTCAAACCGTATCCACTCGGACACGTGAACGAGCACGTGGACAGGAACAAGTATTGAGCTTTGAAGGTAAAACACAAATGACGCACATTGGAGCATATCACGGACTATCCACATAGCATCCTCCCAGAGACAACCGGGGACTTGCGGGGCTTCGTAGAGACTTGAATGAAACCCCAGCTCATGGTCAGTTGATGAAAACAGAGAAAGCTAGCCTTTTTTTTCAACACTGAGCAATCAGGTGATCTAGGAAGGTGCATGCATCTAAAACACTGTGTGGTATTCCCCATCAGTAGTCTCTGTACCCTAGTGTGTAGATATCATGCATCTAAAACACTGGGTGGTATTTTCCGTCAGTAGTCTCTGTACCCTAGTGTGTAGATATCAAGAAAGGTACCATGCATCTAACCCATGTGGTCTGTTCCCATCAGTAGTCACTATACCCCAGAGTCTAGATACAAATAGATTTCTATTGGAAGTCAAACGTCTTCCGATAGCTCATAACCACTCATGGACTTAAGGATGGGAGGGAAACACATGGTGCTGTTAGGTTTATACCATTTCGAAACCGACTTACAGAAAAGGATGATGCTAAAAGAGGCGACAGTATAACTGTACGCAAATTCATCATGTCCGCAGGGTCAATTACTCGTACTGTCAATTACAAGTGTAGAGGATACTCCAGGGCACAATCATACACTGTCATCAATACATATACTGACATTGCACACATGAACAGCGCTGTGCAAGCCAAAGTCGAACTTTACAGCTAGTCCCTAATGCAATGCGACACCTGTGTCAAGGAGAGCATAGTTCAAGAATGCACGGTGCTCCGCTGGATGCAGGATATATCAGTTGACTTACTGTCGGTGCAGGTAAACGTTGGTGTCTTGCAGGTTTTGCCAGTAGGACAGTAGGACCCGACTGCAGGAGCCCCGCAGCCGATAGCAATGCATTTGCATCCACTCTTCTTGTAGCCAGGTTTGCAGGAGCACACGCCATTATTACAGTTTTGCTCACAGCAGCCATTAGCATTTCCACAGTCCTTCGAGTCCTACAATGATAGCGTGCAGCGGGGAAAGGAAAGACATCCGTCACAAAGCCATACTATTCATCTCATTCATTCATGCGCTCTAGTCTCTCTTTCTAAGCTTTTTTTTTAGGGCTAAGCAATAAGAAGACCTGAGCATGGCTGGTAATATGTAACACTTGCGTTCTCTGCCAAGTTCACACAGAATCTCTTATCAACGTAGAATCTCTCATCAACGTAGACAGAAGGCACGGGAGCAACAACAGAAGGCCACTCCCGGAAAACTGAAGACAAGCCTTGCTCAGTGCAGAAGTCAGACGCGAGCCTTTCTATGCATTCTTCCCATGCTCCATGCTTACTGTGAGCGCATATGGGCATATCCCTTGACACACAAGAGCAGAAGTAATCCTCCGATATCTGTAGATCTTTCCGACGGCACACTTTTGGCTGCACGCAGTCCAGGTACCCCAATCAGTAACCTGGCGGCGAGACAACACAGCAACAAACACAATCCAGGTAGAGCTTCAACAAGAAAATATATTTCAAGAAGAAAAACCTCCTGTTGAAGTAGGATATCGGGAGCTCCTAGAATTATTCACTTGGTTGGCACTGAGTGGTTTCTGAGTGGTTTCTGAGTGGTTTCGTATTTCTATTTGTATTTGTATTTATGGATTCTCCACAGGCCTTAGCCTAAACCGAGGGAGTCTCTGTTCAAGTGGAAGTTCAATGTGTTCATAGAATAACTTGTTATAACAGAGGTGCAAAACACACTAGGCTTGCAAGTGCCCACCCCAGTGTACCGGCCTAGCAGATCCCGATGAAAGTCTCCCCAAGTGCTGAAATACCATATTTTCCCCGAGTATAAGCCGCACTGGAGTATAAGCAGCGCACACCCCATTTTTTTGCCACAACATACACACATTTATCGTACTATTCACCCCCGTTTTTGGGTGAAATTTGAGTGTTCAAAGTGCGGCTTGTACTCCGGAAAATGCGGTACTTGCAAGAAAGTATGTGAACATGTGCCAAGCTATGTCTGGGCATTATAGTGATATTCTCCTCCTTTAATTAAGTGGTGAATAGTGTGAAATTCACTGTTGTAGGACACATCCTGCGCAATTCATCTCCACTGTGTTAAAGGATGCCATCGATTGCATTGCACCATGATGCCTCACCACCCAGCACAGCAAGTAACTGAAAGGAATGAGGCCAATGTGAAGAACCCTCTGCTGTACTCTGCCTGTTCAGTTCATGGTGAAACAATGCAGCATGCACTTAACAGATGACTCAGAATTCTAGCTTCAAATGGTGCAGGTAATCTGCAATCGTGCTTCACTAGCTTGGAAAAGAATGCATTGTTCTTTTCGGAAAAGCACCGCATACCCGGCAATCCTCGTTGATGTAATCGGTGCAGGTCTGGCTTTCGGTGGTGGGGGGGCATCTTCCTCCGCATTGCGCTTGTGTAACCACTGGCCGGGTACGAGATTGTGTACCTGCAGACGAAAGATGATTACACCCTCGACGTATCAATCTGGAGCGGAAAAGCACTATTCTACAGTGCTGGCAACTGAAATCCGACCCCCGGGCGGCGTGCCGCGCCGCCCGGGGGGGTCGGATTTCAGTTGCCAGCACTGTAGTTATCATTTCACCATGTGCAAAGGAAATCATCACAGACTCAGTGCCACTTTCCCAAACCTGGAACTGTCTACAGATCTTTAAATACCACAGGCTGCGGCAAAAGAAGCCAGCACCAAAAGCTCCCGCAAACTGTTGAATAAGATCAGTTTGATTTCATAATGTGTCACTGCTTCAGCCGTACATGAGGGCCATGGAAACGTAGTAGGCGTGCCATGGCGCAAAGGTAAGTAAAATACTTTAGAAGACACGATGGAGAGAAGACTGTATAATCAATTTCTTGGTGCGAACCATTAGTTTGTGGCAATAATTATTCATGCAATATCTAACAACCATACAATATTCCACAGATGTGATCCACTTTCCCCCGCAGCGCTTAGGAGCTGCATCTGATGCCTGATCATGAGGTGGTGGCGTCCCATGGAAGTGGGTAGGTGGGCCTCGACCCGCCCTTTACGCAGGTCTGTACTTTTCATTATAATTCTTACGGGTGATCTTCAAAAACAGGTCGCTCAGCATAGATAAGGTGGTCATCATGATGCGGCACAAGCTCCACTTCATGCACCTCACAAGCGTACAGCATGCTTACCCGATCCGCATGGATTCGTACAAGGTGTCCATGCACCCCAGTCTCCCAGCACACAGGTTTTCATAATGTTTTGCGTGCACCCCTCAGTGCCTGTTCCAGAACCAACGCACGAGCCACCACAAGAGGCTGTTGTCCTCACTGAACGATATCGATACCTTCAGGGCAGTGGGGGACAGAAAATGCAGCAGTTTCAGATGTTGGATATACGCTTTCTGACAACGCGTACACTTGCATGCACCACATACCATATGCATCACACCTCACACGTTACTCACACATGCACTAGATTATATGACATCAGACATCGGACTCTACAAGTCAAGAACCATAATGCAACAACGTGCACAAATAATTCTCGAATCGAATTTTGCAACATGCCATGACAACAGTGCCAATGATGTCATGACTGGGACTCCGGGGACCCATGTCATGACTGGGACTCCGGAGTCCATGATGTCATGACTGGGACTCCGGAGTCCATGATATCATGACTGGGACTCCGGAGTCCATGATGTCATGACTGGGACTCCGGAACCCATGATGTCATGACTGGGACTCCGGAACCCATGGTGTCATGACTGGGACTCCGGGACCGATGTCATGACCGGGACTCCGGAACCCATGTCATGACTGGACTCCGGAACCCATGATGTCATGACTGGGACTCCGGAACCCATGATGTCATGACTGGACTCCGGAACCCATGATGACTAAGACTCCGGAACCCATGGTGTAGTGACTGGGACTCCAGGACCAATGATGTCATGACTAGTGAAGCAGGACTGATAATGATATGAATAGAAGAAGGCTACACACAAACCACTGTAATGCTTCTATCTGAATCGTGAAAAACACTGTTGCGGCGAACGAAATCCGATCTGTGAGCCGAAACTCGAAAGCAGCGCTAAAGGCCCTCAAAAGTGTCTTTGGACCGTGCATGATGTAATTGAAATGGAAATGCTTAGTCGATTTTATGCAATAAGGCAACACTGCCTGTGATTCGACATTAAATAAACCAATCCAAAAATCCAATCCACAAATGCTGCAATTTCTTTGGCCCGGACTGTACAGCTACAGCAAGGAACTTACCGGGATCCACTGCCGCATGTTGCACTGCAGCCAGTCCATGAATTGTAACTGTTCCACACGCAGTTAGTCGGGCAGCAGCCACCACAGGTGCTGTAGGAAAGGAGAGTTGGGCAGGCGGCTCCACCACAATATGCATTGACCCTCACGTTTCGATTACGGTACCGCACGCCAGTAGCACATCGAGAGACCGAGCATCCACCCCAGCCTCCCCAGGAATTGACCTGAAACGGGAAAGAGAATCACATCAGAACGGAGCCTCCTGATGATCGAAATTTCTATTTTTAACAATGGACAGGGCTTGTGTAAATGACGAGAACGGTAGCCACTAAGTACCTACAGTTCATTGTACATGCTAGCAGAGAAACCACACTGTTGATAATACAACCCACTGTTGACAGAAGGATTCAGGACAAATCAAGAACTTAGCAGTACAGCAGACATTTCCTGCACAATTTTCAGAATCCAACATGCCCATATACTGTGCACTTCTCACCCTCAACGTTCATCTCTGTGCTGTTTATATGGAGTCATCCTGGTGATGAACCATGGCCGAACATTTGGTGAAGATAATAAAAACCTAAAAGACACTGGCGTCGCACCGACAATGTGGTATGACTAGTGAGGTTGAGTTCTGCACGGTGGTGGATGTGTAAGCGTTTGCATCACAGTGAGCTAGCTAACCTGACAGTTCCTTGCTCCACCAGTGCCAACGCAAGCAATATTCTGAGACCTGGTATTGGAGCACGCCGAGCCTCCACAGCTGGCAGACCTGGCAACATTGCGATAGCGAGTCTGAAACACAACATTCACGGACAATGGCAGCGCTGCTTCTTCTTACAGACAAACATGATGGCCTAAGCCCCTTGCAGATTATCCCCGTTAGTAGTGATTCTCTTTTCTGCTTGACGTCCAGCCCAAAATTTGGCCTCAAGGAAGAAAGATCCCTAGTGGTTTGAATCTATAGTTTTTCCATTTTTGCCTTGTCTCTCGTACAAACGAGAGTATGAGAATAGTATCGTATAGACCAGTAATGTCAACGAACATTTAATTGTAATATGGAAAATGTGGGCACAAGTTATGCGATCGATGCATAACTGCATAACTTGTGCCCACATTTTTTCTACTTCGAAGTATATTACAATTTTTCCTTGCTTCACCATCATTCTGCATTCTTTAAAATGAACAATAAATTCTATTGATTTAACGCATTATAAAAAGCGCTAACATTTGACGCCGATATGTGCAAAACGATATGTACATGTACAGTAATTTGCCAGTTTTGAGACAGAATTCGTTAGAATTTTGCCTCGCAAACCCACAGAAATCTGGAGATCGTTAACTTTAATTGACGTTAAAATATCTGGTCATACAGCACAGTCAACTTCCTTAATAACGACTGTGAATATAGTGACGATTCGCGAATAACGACAGAATTCCCATGCCCAGAGCAAAGTACGATCTAGCCGTAATACATATGAGACTTCGGGTGTAAGGACACTTCGTGAATAAGGACACTTTTCTGCTGCCCCGCTGAGTCTCGTTATACGCAAAATTGACTGTACTTGATGGATAATTTAATTCTGATATTGACTTGAAGCGAACCATGATAAAGTACTCCATGACTCGCTGATGGAATAAAGGGGTTTAGCCACTCTAGTTCATCTGGTGCAGTCACGGTGAAGGCTAGGTTTCAAACATACTGGAACTTTTTATAGCAATCCCGGCAGACGAATACTGCAGTGATGCGGCATTGGGCTTTCTTCAATGTCAACCTGTTCCCACGGGGACTGTATTCTTTGTTGTATGCTTGTATTGAACTGAGCCAGGGGAACACTGAGGCCACAGGTTACTTTATGTGCATGCTCTATTCGTCCAGCTGTTGCTCCATTGAAGCAGGGGTGTTGGACACGCTACGGCCACTACGGTATTGACTGAACCACGTTTCGCCCCAGATACCCCATGCATCAATAAAATACACTGATCTGGGCTCCAAATTGTTCGCCGCGCGGCTCGCCACCTCTCCCCCACGGATAAACTGTACTTCAGATGGTTGACCGGCCCTCACTAAAATACCTTCCGACGCCCCTGTGAAGCGTTCACTGAGCTATCCCTCAGCCCTGTTCAAAGAATGTGTTTCAGTAGATGAGAGAAGCCCAAAACCATATTCTAGTCTGCACTGCAAAACAGCTAATTTTAGCGCCGGCGATATTTTAGCGATTTTAGCGAAAGGAGTATTTTCGCTAAGGCCGCGCCAATCCAAATTTGGCATGTACAGTGCAATAAAAGTCATCGTCTTTTCTTTTTACTTTGAAACTCGGATCACTAAAATATTTCCTTGCGAATTGACCCCGATTCAGAAATGCAAAAAAAATTACGCCCTAAAAATTTCCGTTCTACAGTATTATTGATTTTGTGATGCATCTTCACACTGAACACCAACCAAATCCAAAACTTACCCTTGTTCCCGCCCCGCAGCTGGATGAGCAACCACCGTAGGCACTCCAGCTGTTCAACAAGCAATTCTGCGTACAGCAGCCTCCGCATTTACCGGTGTCGGACAGAACAGGGCAAGCAGCTCCGCCACCCGATGCGCTTCGTGTGACGGTTCGGTAGCGCATGTGAGTCCCAAGGGAAGTGCAGCCTCCGCCTGAGCAAGTGCCCCAGCTTGTCCAAACTGTAATGGAAAAACAAGCAAATGGCTAGTGGATTATCAACATCCTTTTTTCATGTGAGTGTCTTGCTAAATATGTAACGCACATACAGTAAAACCTGTAACTAACGACCACCCCTTGGTGCCCGGAAAAGTGGTCGTTAGTGGCAGGTGGTCTTTAGTTAGAGGTTTGCACCGCGCGACCATATATGGATCCCATTATAATTATGATATGTATGTCAAAATGCAGATAATACAATCCCCCACCACTTGCGCACTGACATTCTTCTTTCAGATCATACAACACTTGGAGAGAGAGAAAATCAAGTTTTTTATACACCGGAAGCGATACGACCTTTTGACACGTATGTCGACTCACTGGGTTTCCAGAGCAGCGCTGGCCTGGCCAGGCAGTGCACTAGTCACTATCGACTCCATCCTCATCTGTGTGCGACTACACCGGCAACTGGTATCAGTGTGTTGATCTACAGTGGAAACTCAGTCGCTCCGACTTGGATGTAGTGTAGCGTAAACTGTACTGGTGTGTACCAGTACGTGATGCGGCGATGTTGCGAGTTTTCGCACCTTTCACTGTAGACTATTATCCGCCATCGTATCCTGGCCTGTGTTCCGTACAGGTGAGTACATAATACCGTAGCATGCTAGCTAGCCAGCACAGACTGTCAGTGTGACCTGGTGTAGTGGTGAGTCTGGTGACTGAGCTGTGTGATTGCACTTCGACAGAGAGCCGCTCAGTCTTAGTTTCTCCTTCGAGTAGTAACATCGATCAAAGAGCTTTGGATGCGCTCTCCAAGACGTTTCCTATCATGTTTGTTCTTGACAGCACTTGAAATTATGACAGGTGTAGTGCAATCCACACTGATTCTCAGTAAAAATGAGCCTGTGCTCATTTGTCCAGCTGTAGTATCGAAACGACCATGGAAAATCATCAAAATTTCGAGAAGGAGCTTCAAGCAATGTTTGATTTGCTACATCGCGGTCGCTAGTTACGGGTCAAAATTCGACATTGGGACAAGAAAAGGCGGTCGCTGGTCGCGTTCAGCAGGTAGTCGCTAGTCACAGTGCATTTTGAATGTGAGACCGTCCGTGCCTGACAAAGTGGTCGGTAGTACCAGGCCGGTCGCTAGTCACGGTGGTCGTTAGTTACAGGTTTTACTGTATATGCACATGAAACGTTTCCTACTATATTGCGTTTGTATATGTCAGCTCACTGCCCTGTCCCTTTCAACATAATTCACATACTGCAACAGCCAAAAAGGTGCTTTCGATACCCTGCACAATCACTAATTGAGATTTAGCATTCACCCAGTTTCTTCGTGACCCTCCACTCCTCGGCAATATGGTCAAGGCATCGCTCAACATGTTTAAAAGCTCTGTCGCTGACTCACTGACCATCAAATCCCAGGTGAGTAGTGCGTTGGTAATGCTGGGCATCATGGACGACAGCCGCTGACCGTCGGTAGTCACAAAGTCTAGGTCATCTGCGTATGCTGTGTCTGCTGGCGTACGCAGCTGGATGTCAGCTGTTGGCCTAAGCGCCGCACAGGCAGGGTCGACCAGTGCGACCAGTTGGATGAGCCACCAGAGTGTACACGGCCTGCTTTGGTGTCTGCCTCTACACTGTTTGCTTTGGACATAACTCCTCTGTTCCTGGGTGCACTTTCGTCCTCAGCCAAAGCACGGTATGTGGATGTGAACGTAAATGACTCCGCGATCTGCTTCAAAGTGGACACGGGCGCGGAGGTCACAGTTATTCCCAGCTCCATTTACGAGTGCATGACTGTTCGACTACCGTTGACACCGTGCCATGGTGGCTTGTTCAGTGCTACCAAAGACCAGCTAAGAATGCTCGGTCAGTTTTCAGTCCAGGCCAGCCACCAGTGACAGCGCCAGATTACGTTGCACAGGGCTTATGCGACAGCCTTCTCAGTTGTGTAGTTTCTTGCCAAAACCCTTTTCTTTCCATGATCAGCTAAGTATTTACATGCTCGTAGACTGTATCTGTGGTACATTACCGAGTCGTGCAAAATGTCAGCCACTTGTGATTGGATGACAATATGAATACAGTTTCTCAAATGCTATTTTTCCTAGAACCCTGGGCACTGCGTGCTGCTTTGAGAAGGTTCATGCAACTCAGTTCTCAGTGTTAAACCTTGCCAAGTTTCTTGCGCCCATAATATACCTAACTGTCCGCCAAAGTAACCAGGTCATACTTACAGTCAGCGAGTGCGGCGACAAAATGGCACACAACTGACAAGGAATACTAAGACATTCAGAGACCTGACACTTAGCCCCAACACTTCTCCAAGGTGCAAACTAACAACCTTAACTTGGAAGGCTCAGTTTCGGAAAAGTCCAAGAGGGGAAGGAAAGCGCAACGCAGAAGAGCACGAGCTACGCTCCACGGCAACAAAGAATGCCAAACGTTACTGGATGATGACGAAACTAGTAGGACTATTGATCTTTTTTCTACATGAAAATCGATTTTGGAAAACTTTCATGACTTCGTTGTTGTCTGGCGATGACAGCAGAATTTGTTCTCTTTATTGCTTAAAATGCTTAGTATTATAATTTTTTTACCATGTCAATTACAATATCCTTTTCAGTGTCACCTTTCTAGATGTTCGGGTTTTTAACCCATTTGCCCCCCTCAAATCGGAAACCAACGATCGCTGGCAGCTACAGAAAGCATGAAGAGGAGAAAAGGAGGAGTTACGAGAGTCGCATTCTCAACGTAGAGCACACTTCCTTCATCCCCGTGGTATTCAGTACGACTGGTGGCCAAGGGAAGGCAGCCTCCACCCTCTTTGGCCGCACTTCATGCATCAAGTCTGAGAAGAATGGTGAGCCTTTCTCTGTGGCAATGGCTTTGATCAGAGCCCAGCTGTCCTTTGCTCTTGTGAAGGCGGCCGTGGAATGCCTTCGTGGGCATCGCCACAAGTCGAGCAGGTATGACCCTCATGCATATCCTGCCACACTTGCTGTCTCCAAGTGTCATCTGTAGGCAACCTGCCTGTTTCCCCCAGCCTTTCCCCTTTTCTCTGTATCATTTTGTATGTTATAATTTCCGCGGATTCCAGTTTTTATCCCTTCATTATAATTTAAGCGCAGTTTAGCGCGTATTGGCTTATGATTCTTTTTCTTCTGTTTGTATTTAGCGCTTGACCGGTTATTATTTTCTTCTCTTTATTTTGCGCTACATATTATTATTTTTCTGGTTTTAGAGTTTGTACACTCGTACTCATACTAGTAACATTTTGGTAGGAATTATGCGAAACTATCGCGAAACCATTCTGACATTCAAAACAAAAACAAAAAAATTTCAGTATCACCTTCTCGAACGAGCCGTTAGTAGGCAAAACAGCTGTCAAAAGGAATATTATCAGTAACATTACTTGAAGTACCCGTAGCCCCTTCGTTGTTTCGAATTATTGGTGTGTGTAATGGCTACCGAGGGTAGCCATATATCGGCTGAGAGTGCATGGAGGAGAATAGGGGGAAAGATGTTTGCATTATCGAACAGCCGAATGGTACCGTTCACAATGTTTTGAAATTTTAGATAATACATTGGATATAATTATTTACTTAGTTTGAGCACTTTGGCAAGGTACGTTTGGGCCTGGTTTAAATCAGGCTTTGGGAAATGATTTTTCATTGCTATCTGGTTCGGCCCCATTTTCTCTGTGCTGCGCTGGTGAGTCCACAAAGGACGAAACAGTTCTGTCCACAGATTGAGTATGTTGGCTCCTGCTCTTGTAGTAGTTGAGCACTCTCATGTGGGGTAGTGCCGTTGCTGTTTGTGTTATGCAGGGCTTGTCAGTTCGAGCACTCTGGTAAGGTACGTCCTGGCCTGGTTCAACCTTTTTTTTTAATCTGGCGTTGGAAAATTTAAACACACGGCGAGGAGAAAATAATTTGATAACCGCAATCAATAAACCTAGCTGAACCGACATTTGTGTACTTTATTCATGCAATGTAAAAACGGTGGAGACGATGTACAATAAAACGATGAAAATATGAAGAAATTCATCTGCTAGCTAGTCCTGATTGTTGCAATTCGTATTCCGATTCTTCGTTCACTGTATTGTGCCGTGGTCGTCATGGTTATGGACTACAGTTAAAAGTGTTGGAAGCTATCTATCAGCGTCTGTATAAGCCTAATTTGTGTGTACAGAAAGATAGTATAATTGGGTTGAAATTGTTCAAGTAACGTGTCGTGTTTAGTGCGGCCAAGCTTGGCCGTTACTGTTCTAGGTGTAATGTACTGCTGTTATGTGTTATCACGTTGTCTTTCCTTCCTTTCTCCTTTGTTCATTTCTCGCTTTGATTGTTAAAATTCACACTTGTAAATTTCACTGCTGTTGCTCTTAGTGTTATTTCTCTAACTTAGATTTTCTATAATAGTTCAATTTTTTGTTTCAGTGTCCTTTAGTACAACGACGATTCCTGATGAGTGTTGTACGAAAACTTGTTAGAAAATTTATTTTTCATTGCTATCAGGTTTGGCCTCATCTTCTCTGTGCTGTGCTGATGAGTCCACAAAGGATGAAACAGTTCTGTCCACAGATTGAGTATGTTGGCTCCTGCTCTTGTAGTAGTTGAGCACTCTCATGTGGCGTGCCTTTGCTGTTTGTGTTATGCAGGGCTCACTGACTTGTCAGTTGGAGCACTCTGGTAAGGTACGTTCTGGCCTGGTTGAACCCGTTTTTTTTAAATCTGGCGTTGGAAAATTTATTTTTAATCATTGCTATCAGGTTTGGCCTCATTTTCTCTGTGCTGCGCTGATGGGTCCACAAAGGACGAATAACCAGATCTGACTGCAGATTGAGGATTTATCTCTTTCTATTTATTGGGTTCCCCAAAGGCTAAAGCCTATCTAGGGTAGAGGTCTCCAAATAAAAACCAATTGTCTTACCATTGACTATGCAGTTGACTGGCGGACATCCGGCGTTGCTGCTACACGACACAAATGTGTACAGGTTGGGACAAGCCGTTCCAGTGCCGCTTGGATATTGGCGGACGGACCTGATATCCACAGCACAAGCGAAATGAAAATCAACAATATCGAGGTGCTTCTTGTAAATTTTACACCACACGTCCCTGAATCGGTTCCACGTCCACCACATGCGCTCTCTGGCTCACCTCATTCATACCAGCAACATGACTTGAAGTTGTAGATATTGGCAAATAGAATGTCCTCCATATACAGCGCTGTTTCGACGATTTTTAAAGGGTCTCTACAGTGGCTGTGAAGAATACTCAACGGGCCGCTCAAATGTCCTCAAGCGTGCATGGCTGTGTTGTGTTGTACACTGACGAACAAGCCGAAAGCTTCTGCTCACCCTCCTGTTGCCATCTATTCCCTTTAACCCATTTACGGCTACGGGTCATGGCACCCAGGCTCTGCACTCCTGATTTGGCATTGAAAAAGACGTATAATTATACGTCTTTACGACTTTAGCGCTGAATGGGTTAAAAACAATCATTGCTGCTCACTAGACTTCATCGGAAATGACGTAGCCTGGCACTCTGAGATCCACTGATGAAACCGAACAAGATTGGAACAAACAGCTGCCCAGAGATTGAGTGCAATCGGTTCATGGAAAGGAAACCAATTTGAAAACCAGCACTTAGTCCCATCCCTCACACAAACAAGTCAACAAAGAGGCGCCTTTGGAGTGAGGAGTTCTGGTTTCGATACAACTGGTTTCGGAAGCTCAAAGTAGAGCTGCTGTTAGCTCAAAGCAGAGCTGCTGTTAGCTCATAGCAGAGCTGCTGTTAGCTCAGAGCAGAGCAGGTGTTAGCTCAAAGTAGAGCTGCGGTTAGCTCAAAGTAGAGCTGGTGTTAGCTCGAAGTGGAGCTGCTGTTAGCTCAAGGTAGAGCTGCTGTTAGCTCAAAGTAGAGCTGCGGTTAGCTCAAAGTAGAGCTGCTGTTAGCTCAAAGTAGAGCTGCTGTTACCTCAAAGTAGAGCAAGCAAGATTTGTTTTTCTTTTCAGCAAAACGGGCTGATGCCATTTGTGATTACGCAGCAAAACAAAGCGCATGACGTCAGTCTTGAATGCAGTACAAAGCAATGCAGTGCAGTGTGTGCGCCAGTTCGGATTGTTGCTAACAAGTACTAGCACAGCTAGTACACAGCTAGTACCCCAATTACTGTGTTCAGAACATATCAAGCATGGCAAGAAACCATACAATTATGTGAGGATTATAACGAGAGAGCTTGGAAGCTCAGGGCCCTACGCTATGCTTTTTTGCCTTGATGACCTAGACAAAAAAAGCATAGGGATGTTATAAATTCTTTAAAAAATTCCTTTTTTTTTAGACATAACCTGGGATTCGAACCCGCACTATCGCGCGCCCTGCATGCATCCCCCGATACACTTCGCATACATACTAATTCTTCCAAGTTGTTTCACATTGTGATCTTGCATTTGAAAGCCCTATTTGAATATGCATTGTGGCCAGCCGTCTTTGATGGCACGGTACGGTAGGGGATAGGTACGGGACAGGTACGATCGAGGGTAATACGACACCGTCTCCCGTACCGTACCGTACCATCAAACACAGCTGGCCACATACAGCTGCCCGCAATATTCAAATAGGGCTTTCAAACGCAAGATAATAACGTAAAGCAACTTGGAAGAATGGGTATGAATGCGAAGTGTATGGGGGAATGCATGTAGGGCGATAGTGCGGGTTCGAATCCCAGGATATGCCTGAAAAAAAAGGAGAATTGAAAAATTTATAACATCCTATGCTTTTTTGCCGTCAGATACGGATAGCGCCAGGCGTGACACAAACAAACAAACACACAAACAAACACCAAATTAAAGCTGTGTGGACCCTGGCTAGCGCCAGACGTTACTGACGTAACGTCTTCTGCATAGCTACGGGAATTATTATCTTATTGGCTACAGGTCGTGGTCAGAATAAAAAAGACTTCAAGCATTGGTGTACGCGAGCACTCTTTTTTTCCACAAATTCTCTGCTTCATCCACTGGCGACACCTCAATAAGGCTTAGGACTGTCGCGGCGACCTTGTCGCGCGATTTGTATCATGTTTGTGCCTGTTCTTGTTTCAGTACAAAACGCTAGTTCCATGCCCACGTTCCCGTGCTTTGTATGACTTGTTCTGGCCCACGTATGCATGACTGTACATGTACTTGTCAAGGCACGTGCATGCAGCACAGTTTGGCGCGCTTTTGCGAATGTGTTTGCTTCTCCCACGGTGGTGGGTTTTTATGCTGCTCTTCTTGGACACGAGTGGTTTTCAGTTTTGTTGTTCTCTAGTATTATTCTTCGAAAGAGCGATTACTACAGACTCATTTGTCCTATGATGTGTGCCACCTGTAGAGGTGAGATCGGACTTGTGACCTGTGTTGATAAATCGAGAGATTGGGAATTCTAATCTTTCGACATGGTGCTTTAGTGACCAGAGATTTTCCTCAGTTTATTTAGTAAATTCCGACCAGAGTGATGGAGACTATCGCCCAGCTTGTAAAGTGTAGAGCAAACACGAAGCGACGACTCACACGCCTTCGCCACAATTTAACCCGGGAGCTTGCCAAAGACGCTCCATCACCACACTACCTGCTACGAGATTGGCAGCAGGCTGAACGCCTTGCAGCTGAAATCAATGCCACACAGGCTAGAATCCGCGATCTGACCGAACAGGCGACTTCCTCGGATGTTGAGGACCGCCTGGAGCAACTCGACAAGTGGGAGTTCGAGTTCGATGATGACCTGGAAGTCCTGAGGGACGCACGTACCGTTCTACAGAGGGAGAACCCGTCCGGACTCGCCACAGCAGATGCGGAACTGGAGGCAATCGCCAACTCGAGTCGATCCAGTGCCCCACAGCCTCCCCCACGACGTCCCCAGCCGCTGCCTTGACCAGCGTATCCTCCGAAGCCCATCAGCAGTGGTGGTCCACTCCAAGGGTCCACCTTCCGCTCCTGCGAGCCCTCCCGTGACTGCTGTTAGTCTTGTCCCTGCTACTGGCTCTCCAGCCACTCCAGTCGTCCCGTCTCCGAATGTCTCCGAAGCCCATCAGCAGTGGTGGTCCACTCCAAGGGTCCACCTTCCGCTCCTGCGAGCCCTCCTGTGACTGCTGTTAGTCCTGTCCCTGCTACTGGCGCTCCAGCCACTCCAGTCGTCCCGTCTCCGAATGTCTCCGAAACCCCCAGCGACCAACTCGTGCGGCAGCTGACAAGGCCCGGCAGAATATTGCAAAGTGGACAGCTGTATCGTTGCTGCACGTACACATCCCACACGCCTGATAAGTTTGACCGTGTCAGAGTGTGAGGATTAGGTGGTGCTTGGTCCAATTGGCAGTGACCTCACAAGCACATAAAACTCTCTGTATGCCTGTTTACCTGCTTGCTGTGTGTGTGTGTGTGTGTGTGTGTGTGTGTGCGTGTGTATCTGCATTGCTTATGCTCTATAAGTTACCTCCCGGTGTACATTCCCGGTCGGCTGGAGTGTCGCGGCGACCTTGTCGCGCGATTTGTATCATGTTTGTGCCTGTTCTTGTTTCAGTACAAAACGCTAGTTCCATGCCCACGTTCCCGTGCTTTGTATGACTTGTTCTGGCCCACGTATGCATGACTGTACATGTACTTGTCAAGGCACGTGCATGCAGCACAGTTTGGCGCGCTTTTGCGAATGTGTTTGCTTCTCCCACGGTGGTGGGTTTTTATGCTGCTCTTCTTGGACACGAGTGGTTTTCAGTTTTGTTGTTCTCTAGTATTATTCTTCGAAAGAGCGATTACTACAGACTCATTTGTCCTATGATGTGTGCCACCTGTAGAGGTGAGATCGGACTTGTGACCTGTGTTGATAAATCGAGAGATTGGGAATTCTAATCTTTCGACAAGGACAGGTGAACCATGAATTTTGGATAATGGAGGCGAACAATGCATGTCCATGGTGCCAGTATTCCATCCCCTTCTTACCTTGACCTAGTATAATAGCCAGTACCACAACGCGCGTTGCAATTAGCGGTAGTTGCCCAGCTGTTAACCAAGCAGTTCTTATTTGTTGGGCAGACGAAAAAGGCGCAGTTGGAATAATCCAGTAGGTTAACTCCGGCACAGTTTGAGGTGCGGCTCCTGGACAAACATATAAATGCATGCACACATGCACACGCCCATACGCACATGCACACGGACAGACACACACACACACACACACACACACACACACACACACACACATACACATCCACATTATGATTATATAAAATTAATGTATAATTATACTAAATCCGTGGACAGCATGCTGTTTCGTCCTTCGTGGACTCATCAGTGCAGCACAGAGAAATGAGGCCAAACCTGATAGAGGGGAGTCGGAAAGTGTTTTAGTGTGGTACGGTCAGCCATCTGAAGTACAATTTACTCGTGGGGGAGTGGTGGCCGTGCCGTAAATTTTGGAAATTTAGATCCCAGATCAGTGTATTTTATTGATTCACGGGGTACCTGGGGCAAAAGGTGGTACGGTCAATACCGTAGTGACCGTACCGTGTCCGACGCCCCTGTGATAGCAATGAAAAATATTTTCCGAAGCCAGATTTAAACCAGGCCCGAACGTACCTTGACAGAGTGCTCAAACTGACAAGTCAGTGAGCTCTGCGAAATGCAAACAGCAAGTCACTACCCCACATGAGACATTGAGAGTGCTCAACTACTACAAGAGCAGAAACAAAATACTCAATCTGCGCACAGCACGCTATTTCGTCCCATAGTACTTATACACACACATGTATAGAAACGTAGAAATCATCCACATTCGCCCAGTCGCCTTTGGAGTTTGGTAGTGAAGCATTTCAGGAGTTGGATTCAATGAAGCTAGTGGGAGTCATTCTTGGCTCCACTCTATCCTACACTACAGTGCATTTCAAAACTATAGACGCGTAGGGTTTTTGAAATATTTCAAATTTGGCTGGAACTTTTTGAGAATAGTTTTCGGAATATTGCTCAGGATCGCTCCACAATTACTCTCATATAGTTTCTAAAGGATTGGATAACAGACGCCCAATTTGGAAAAAATTATGCACAAAGTGATCACAGATTTTATGTGGTATAGATGCTGGCATAACGGTTTTTGCCTAGGTAGACCTACGCGTCTATAGTTTTGAAATGGACTGTAGCTCACCGTGACCCGCAGAGTGGCACCACACTGCTCACGAAAGCTGGGCTACCGAATTCCTACAAAAGCCAGTACCCATCCCGCACCACCATGGTAGCGTGAGGATCAGTTTACAAGTGCTTGGTAGACCTACGCTACTGCAGTAGTACGCTCCACGTGCACCATGTGCACTGGGCTGGTCAACTGCGTAGCCAAGACGAACACTTCCCAGCTGGACACGGTCCAGCAACTAACTTGCTCTACACTTCCTGCGACCTGGCACCATTCTCCAAATGCCAGCTCATATCAAAATTTCAGTAAAGGCTACACTGAATCGCAGGGCCTCCCCAGATCAGAGCCATGTTGCCACCAACCAAGGCATCAGCGTACAAATTCTCATGGTCAGCTTGCTTACATGACAACAACTTGAGGAGCACCATGGCCTCCAAGTACGTACAAGGCGTACAGCCGCAGACTACCTTCTATTACATGAACATTATACTATTACTAGGCACCTCCAAATCTTCATGGTTACCGTATGTAAGGACCTAATCCGGGGCAACTGACTGTATGAGCAGTCTACGCAGTCCAGGGAGTAGCGTGTTCGCTATACAGACCAGCACACATAATAATTATTATCATTTCCACTAGACCACCGATGTTCTTTATCGACACACACGTACATTACACAATAATAATTATATATATACATGTACATGTACATGTCAATTTGTCCTCAACTTTCTGACTTCCCAATTCCCCTCTGGACCGGCAGTATCGTACTCTTGGGTGTTACCAGTCGTGCTCCGTAACGCTTCCTCCCATCGATGGTGTTGTCATTGGTCAGCACCCCCCTGGCCTGGTGTTCCGTCCGCTCAAGGCTGCATACCAGTCCCGTCCTCCGCAGCCACACTGCAGCAGCATGGGGAATGTAGATCTTCAGCCACAGTTCAGGCGTGTTGGATCGGTTCCGTAACAACTAAAACATTACCTACACGCCCAAGTCTCTCGAAGAATTTTTTTTACCAAGAATCAGCGGGTCGGTGATGCAACAGCCGAGCAGTTTGTCTTCCCTGCTTAGGCTCGGTACCCTCAGCTGTGTGTAGTGGATGCTCTGCGGCAGTATTCTGCACAAACAAAGACTTTGTAACCGGCCGGCTGCCCGACATCTGCCACCCCTCTGCTTCTGTCGATCCGGTGACATCCTCACAAGCCGGTCCCATCGATCACCCGTGATTGCAGATAGGTGGCTCCGCTTTCATCATGTCGGATGCTGGTGTGAACACCGTGCCACTACAGTCTACACACGGACACGGTTTTCAAGGCGCATTCCACGCGTAGAGCGACCGTCTCCGTTGCTCGTTGGAAGGAAACCTCTGTAGCAGAAATCCTCACGGCCGTCGACTGCGCGCAATCCTCTGCGTTCCTTAGGTTCAACTCTCGTGACGATCCACCTTCCTCCACTGCCGGCACAACCTTTGCCTTTGAAGTTTGATGCGCCAGCCCTTTGCTGGCTCTCTGTTATTCCGCAGTTCATGCGCCGATAGGGTCCTCTGTTTTCTACAAATCCACTGTTCCAGTCAGCGGTTATTTTCTGAAAAGGGTGCGTGGCATGCCGACATGATCTGATGATAAACTAGCAATACTACAGCCAATACTGCAATAGCATACTACATGTCCAATTATGATGGCTCTTGCACGGTTCCGAGGGGATTATTTTTCATAATCCCCGCGGCGCGCAGATCCCCTCGTTTGAGGGGATTATGAGCCATAATCCCCTCAAACTATTGTAGGGGAAATATCCGTAGATCACCTGAAAAGGTACGCTTTCCAACGGCCAAAGAGAGTTGGAAAGCTTGTGTCTTTGTGGGTAACCTGAACATTTGGGCTCATGCAAAATCGCACCGATTTTGGGATTTCCCCACAACTTTTTGCGTCCGCAAAAATGTTGTGCTGGACCGCATTCCTGTCACTTCGCAGTGGCTTTTCGTTGGTGCATGTTGTATCCCACCCTCCCACCCCTGACTTCTGGGTACGGGTGTGTGTTTATATTATCGTATTGGTTTTTCTTATTGGCCATGTGGCTGTTGCAGTAAGGGCCTATCCACACTATGTAATAAAAACGGCGTGCCGTTTCAGAGTACGTGACGTACACGCGATGCTCTGTCCACACTGAAATCTGTCGCCAGTGTAACTACGTCGTGTCCCTGTTCATTATTTTCTCTAGATGCCGCGATTGCACAATGTCTGTAGCGCGTAGACCAGGAAAGGACTCCCTGGCTTGGTCTAGACCTACCCAGCTAGCTACAAAACAAGTGGCGACCCAGCGATGGCAGCACTGACGCCGAGCTCAAGGAATATCACCCTGAACTCTGTTCCAGGTGCGGAAATTTGGCCACCGTGTGACTCTCGCGGTAGCGCAGCGCCAAGGTCGAGGCCGGCTGTAGCATCGCTTGACGAACCAGTGTTGGTGGCCGCCGTGTATTTCCAGTAAAAGTCCCTGGCTTTGGCCTTCATGTTGTCAATTTTTGTCACAAGAGGGTTCTGCTTCCTCTCCAAACTAGATCAAATTTTCAGTGAATTCTCCGAGTCTCGCTACTACACCGTCCTTTTCATCAGACCCTGGGATTTCTCTGCATGTCCAGCCATGACTGTATCAATGTCGCCTCCGAGTGGTCGCTGAAACGGACGTGTGACAACTCCAAAGCGAAAACAAGCGGCAGCTGGAAACAGCAAGAAAAAACTGCGATCCACAACCTCCATCGACTCCCACACACCAAACACTGCGAAAACGGCACGTAGATGAGAAACGTGCTTTGTACAGGGGTCCGCGACTCACGTTCCGCATGAATCCCACGTTCCCCGTTTTCGGCCATTTTTCGTCACTCACCTTGGCAACAAGCATGTTTACGGCGTGTTTACGTGGTTTTCTACCTAGTCTGGACAGGCCCTTACGACTGCTTTTCTTTTTTAGTTAAAAAACATAGGGGTGGTGTGTGCGTCGTGGGCCATTGTATGGTTACATACAGCTTCAGATTGTATGGCTAGTGACAGGGGGGTTGAGTCTGCAGGGGAAGAATACAGTGATTGAACTGAAGCTGGATGATGACCGTGTGGTGAGTGTGTGGGGGTTTCGAGATGCCGTCCTGGGGCAGGGATGTCGGTCCTTTAGCTTGGACGGGTGTTGTTACATTCATTGTAACATTTTGTCGTTTTCTGTGTGTTTTGCTGTGCTACTACAGTAGCAGCAGTGTCTTGTGCTAATTTTTCTTATGATATCAGGCCCTATGCGTACAATTATTCAAACAAAAAAAAAAAAGAAAAAGAAAAAAAAAGAAAAAATATCAGGAAGGAGATATAATAATATCAATAATAAAGCCATTGCCGAGCCACCGTGCTCACAGCAGAGACTTCTGTGTGTGTTATTGTTGTGAAGTGGACCACAAAGACGGGTGTGTTAGGTACCACCTCCCGTACCTTTTCTAGCTGGCCTGCGCTGCATGCACTTACGTACTCACCTTTTGTCTCCTTTTGTTCCGTTGGCCTGGGTAGCTACTTGCGCGCCCATATTTGCCATAGCTTCCCAGGCCCTTTATCTTGCCGTTTAGACTTGATCTCTTTCTCTCTTTTCTCACTCTTCAATGTAGTCGTTTCGTTCGTCTTGGTCTCTTGTCTCGTCGTCTATAATAAATGTCGTTCCCCCAACCTACCTGTTCCCGTTGTAATGTCTGGATAATGTGTCGTCAGTCGTCCTGTTTCGAATTCAACATTGGCGCCCGATTATTGCCATGATCGACCCACGACCCTGAGATCATCCCATGCCCAGCCGTCCTCAACCGCCATTCGTCTCGTCTATGTCAACCTCGTCTCGTCCATGTCAGTCTCGTCTCTCCTACGCCAACCTCGTCTCGTCTCTATAAACCTCGTCTCGTCGTGTCGTTCAAGCCATGCAGCTCAGGTCAGCTACCTTTCTCTCTTTCTTTTT